ATTTGGACAAACCACATGCAGCACACCGTGATACTATAAACAGTGATAACAATAATGACACGTTGTTACGGTTATGATTACATTTGCTAATGATTATTTTGAACAACGCAGCAAAATATGAGGGGCTGAGAGGTGATCATATTATCTATATATGGCTATGTTAGTAGGATGTGGCCCCTGGGAGATTTATAGTAAATGTGGAAGTTTTAAATATTTCAAATATTTTATCGCAAATACCAAACGGGAGCATTTACAGAACAAAACTTTGATGCTTTTACAGTTTACCTTTTTATTTACTGCATATCTGCCCACATCACACCATCGTCATCAAAGGAAAAGTGTGGTGGGTGTTCCCGACACAGCTGCTTGGTAAACACACGTTACTTACTAATTTTATTCAGGTGAGGAGATTTAAGTGCAGAGCCGGGGAGACTTGGGCGGTTGTTTTTTCGACGGGTAAAATCGTCAATTATTTTGGAACAGATTGGTCTCAAAGTGCAATTGAACTTGATAATTGGCTCAATGGAAAATGTAATGAAAAAGCCCTGATTTGAAAGGAAAGTTATGAGAAGGCTATTTCAATTACTCTAGAAAGCCTAAACTGGGATACCAGCACCCCGCACCAAACACACTCAACAGGCTCAGACACTCTGACGTTTTCTTTATTTCTTTATTTTCTTTCTTCTTTTTTTCCCTTTTAATGACAGTGAGCGCGAATCGTGATGAGCACAGCTGTTTATTTGCCTTTTCCCCCTGAAATCCGCTCCAGCTGCATTCTTTAAAGCGTCATGCCTTTGTCACTGTTAATTGATTACCACTTCTCATGAAATACAACTTTGTTTTTTTCAATTCTATTATTGACACGCTTGTTCAAATAATTACAGTCTTAACCGCTCAGCTTTGTTGAAATCATTTGACAGATACAGAGTGAAGAAACAGTCTACGGTGCCAGCATCGAACAGATTATTACAGATGCTTTTAAGATTATCCAAAGGAAGAAAAAAACCCCACTCAAATCCTGACAGCCTGTCAGGGATGATTGCTCAACTAACTGCTTTCCTTTTTGTGACTGACAGATACGTTTTAGCTGTTTTTTTCCCCTCTCGGGTTCAAGAGTTCACAGCGATTAAGGTTTCACAGAACTTACTTGAACTGTTTTAAGAGCTAAGTTAAAACTTAAACCATCATCATCATCCTGCAGTTTTCGAGTATCAATGGTGATCACTCTTCTATTCAAAAGTCATTTTGGTTGGACCAACCAACTAAAGTAAGTTATTGGTTGCTATAATTGATAGAAAATTTGCCAGACCTCTGGGGTCTGAATTGATAGTAAGGCTGACCCCAATACAAAAATAGAACTTTTATCTAATTCAGCATAATATCAATCATATCAAAGATCTCCTTGGGCAAAGTGAACTTACTCATTTAAATCTATTTGAGCCAGACAATAGGTCTACAGACTCAAAGTTCCACTGATTTCATTTAATAAATTGGGCCAAGCATCTTCCATACACTGTATATAAGAGATGGAGGTATTTCTGAACTCTTCATTTTGTAGCCTCCACTTTTACAGCTGGCGCCAACTTGTTATTTTGGACACAGAAGTGACCACATTTAAATTCAGTCCAATTTAATTAAAATTTATTTATATAGCACCAAATCACAGGAACAGTCACCTCAAGGCCACAATCACACGATCTCCTGTGAGCACCCACTTGGTGACAGTGGGAAGGAAAAACTCCCTTTTAACAGGAAGAAACCTCCAGCAGAACCAGGGGCAGGGAGGGGCAGCTATCTGCTGTGACCATCTGGTTATTAGAAGAAGGATGCAAGTTATCAAGTAGCTAGCTAACACCAACTTTGAGGCTTCTTAATACAAAATCCACACAATCAATGTGTGGGGTCCATCTTTTATTTACAGTTCATAGGTGAAACCTAGGTTACGGTTTTTGGTCTAAGTGACCAAAGTAGCCTACCTCACTCAAAGAGCTAATAATGTAAAACTCTAAGGGTTAATACCCTCTCTACAGCTGTTATGAAGAGGAACATCAGGAATAGAGATCAAAGTATTTCATGTACCAGTCAGTAAACGTGTATTTCATCTGTGAAGCTGGTTATGGTAACATTAGAGTCCATAGGGCATCAACTTGCCTTTGGAGTCACCCTCACGTGGCCATTTGCGAGTCTTATTTTTCAGCCCTGGAACTTTCTGCTTGTTTTAAGCATTTGATCAAACAAAACAGTGGTTAAAACAGCAAATAACATTTCTCCTCAAGGAATAATCCCACTGGCATCTGATGTCAAGCACTTGAAGTGCAACACCTTCAATCAAGCTCAACCAACAACACTCCAGACAGATGGTTAGGGCTGACTGCGAGAGGCCTCCCACCATGCCCGATAACAAGTTTCCCTGGCTATATAGGGCAACTGTGAGTGTAAACACACCAGCCTCAAGTGGAGAGGACAGGTGGCCTGCCACACAGGACCGCTGGTCATGTTGCGAGTCCACAACAAAAGTTCAGTTATGTGGAAATGCCTGAGTGTCTTAATAGTGCGATACAGTGCCAGTGGCTCAGATCTGATGATGGGGGCTATAGCAGAGCTGTGATACTTCTGGGAAATCAAATCTGAACCAAAATGTTGCTGCTGAGCAAAGGCGGCTCGAGGCATTAGCTTTAGTCTAGTGGGAGGAACATACAAGCGAAAACAAAACCTAAAACCAGACCATCAGTGATGCGTTCCCTTGTCAAGAGGCCTCAAAATTGCCTCAAATGACACTCGATATCTTTTTTTTTATCAAGTTAATTTCCTCCTTTCTGCCTCACAATGATAGGACTGCTGGCCTAGTTTGGACCTCTGAAAGGAGCCTTTTCCACCCCAATCATTTCCTCCATGTATTTGTTTTCGGAAGCAGCATCCTCTGGAGGCGGGCAGATGATGATGTCACAGAGGAAGGAAAATGATGGTTTGCCTGCTGTTTGTACAAGACTTTGGCATTTGTTGTCACTGGGTCTGGCATCACTGGCAGGCACACTGCCACCGAACCCCCCCACTCCCCCACCCCCACTCGGCCTAGCCTTCATCCACCCTCCCCGCAATGACCCATATAGGTGCTTTGAATTGCTTGGCAGGCTCAAGAAGATTTATCTGGGCCCCCCTCCCAGAAAGACCACTGGGATTTAAGCATGTGGTGGTGGTTCGAGTGCAGCTAAACATGTAAGCAGGTTGTCAATTTTGACTCGTGTACGTTTGTGCGTTTGTGTCTGTGCATCGCTGCTGCAGTTTGTGACAGCTCTTTGGATGCAGTTGAAGGAGATATGCTGTCTAGTCTCCAGGTGTTCTTTTTCAGACACTCACTGAAGGAGTTGTGTGTTTTTTTGATGTGTGAATTACTTTTGGTGAGGTACATTCTGTTCTCTTAATATCCTGGATGAGTAAATCGAAAGCTGTTTAATAGGATAACTGCATTTAAAACCCCAAAAAGCTGATTTAAACAGGCCTCGTAAAGTTGAGCCATCATGAGAATCTTTTATCAGGCAACGTAAAGAGAACAATAATTAAGTTAGAAGACCAAAGAAAGTTTCCTCCCCGACTGTGATGACTAATACTCTGCCTTCTCTTTTCCACCCTTCTTGCATAATCCCCCAGATTAATTAGCTGTGTGTTCGAGTCACTTCCTGTAGCGCGACCCTCAAATAGGCTCCCTTCTCTCAATCTGGCCTATCCACTTATAGGGCGCCAGAGCGTTTTCCCTTTGAAGACCGCTCGGGCTTCAGAGGCAACAAAACTCTCTGATCTGGCGGCTAAAGGAAAGGGCTCCTGCAGCGTGCCGTTACAGGCTGATAAAAACTTAGAAAGAAAAAAAGAACAACATTTGGGTAACACACACACACACTCAGAGGGGGGGAAAAAATTAAGAATAATTTGGTAGTGAAAACAAGAGGCAGCATGGAACAATGACAATCTGGCTCCTTTGGTAATTTCCTGTCGGCATTCATTCGTGTGATGTGGTCGTGACTGTTCTGCCGGGATCAATCAAACCTGCGAGCAGATGGCATCGCACTCCTCCAGCGGACTGGGGATTGACTGTGAGGATGTTTTTTCGTAGTTTTTTTTCTTTCAGAGATGGTAATTGGCCCGCTATGTCACGGACCGGAGCATCCTAACAGCCGCTGCCATTGCCACCATGCAGCAACAACACCTTTCGTTATGCTTAGCACAGCTCATAATGTCCTACCCATGCTGCAGGCTGCATTTCTTTTAAAACTCCAGCTTGTATTAAGCACGGCTGTAATTAATAAGGTGCGACTGCAATGAGCTCGGACGAGGGAAAAACACATTTCAGGAGCAGCATTTTCATTTATCCAAGTTTGCCCCGCCCCCTGTATAAAATTTGGACCACTTTGGCTCCCTTACCACACGCACCCACGAGGCCTAGATAAGTCAAACATATCTCCTTCTGGATCGGAAACTGCGTTTGCTAACAGGGCTTGCATTTAGGTGAAGAAAGCTTATGTAGATAAATGGAACCGTGTGTGGGAGCCTCAGCAAGCTGTATAAAAGAGAAACAAAGTAATTGCATGTGTACTGTATGAGTCTGTGTGTGTGTGCGCGCGCGTGTGTGTGGCTGAGACACCGGGCACTTCAAAGCTTTGATGTTGGAGCTCCTAAATGAGGGCCACCAGAGGTCCAGACTAATGGGACATCATGGGGAGATTAGAGGCCAAGTGTAGCAGGCTGACAACACAGTATTATGTGTGTGTGTTTGTGTGTGGCAGAAATAGAGAGCAAGAACACGAGTTTGTGTGTGTTGCTCCTTGCGTGTACTCCTTTTGCAATTAAAAGTGAAAGTTTTGGCTCCAAGTCTGAGAGGGAGTTTGCAGGAAGTAATTGGACAGGAAGCATCAAGTTGTGGCCACGAGCATTCCGGTGCTCATGCCAAGATTTCGACAAAAAAATGTAAAAACGCGTCAGAGTTAAAGAAATCATCAGTTTATTCGTTATGGTATAAATCCTTTATTAAATAATCATAACAATAATTATAATAACAATCATAAAAAGAGCATTTCTGTACAAAGACCCCTTTAAAACAACAACAACAGCAGTCCTAGCAGTGCGAAGGGTTAGGGGTGTATGTGTTTGTGTGTGTGTTTGTCGGGGGGGGGGTCCTGTCTTTCTGTGTGTTTCATTTGGTCCCCCCGGGCTGAAGGGGGCGCTGTGACTGTCGCTGGCAGTCTCAACTTACTGTATCCGATACTGGCTCCAAAGGCAAGCTGGATCCCCGAGGCTCCAAGGCACTTTGAAAAGAGTCAGTGGGGGTCCAGAGATGTGGGCCTCAGAGGAGAGAGAGAAAGAGACAGCGAGTAAGGGTGGATGGGATGTGATGCTGAGTGCGAAAGTGTGAGAAGCCATCGTTCCCTTTAATTTCTAGATTCTGCCATACTCTCGGTGTGCGCGCATGTCCAAAGTTTCTCGAGTTTTTCAGAGAGGAAAGACGTGTATTTGTGTTCTGTATATACATCCGTATATACAAGGGAAGTGCGTGGATGTTTGTGTCCGTGGACGGGGAATTTTAAAGGCCTTCACTCCCTTCTTCTCATGGCTTACAAGTCCAATCCAAGCATGTGCGATAAGACCTTTTTAAACTGTTTAAAAAAAAAATGCTGCAACAGTAAAAATTAACACACGCACAAAAAAATTAATCACAAAATAGGCCACGACTAGCCAGTAAGTTGAGGTGGGACGGGGGTTCCGGTGTTGGTGTGTGTCGGTGGGGGAGGTGGGTGGCGGGAAAAAAGAGGGGATAGGTCCTTTAAATCATGGCTTTTGAGGTCCACGTGTAAAAGAGAGCGAGAGAGATCCTCCTCTCTGGTCTCGATGTCTCCTCAACGTTCCTTTTTTCAACATTTCCACCAACAGTTTGCTTTTAAGGCGTTGTTGTGTGTCCGGGCACACAGTCAGTCAGTCGATTGAGAAGAGCTGTGTCTGACTGCATTTGTTTTTGATCCCATTTGCTTTTTTTTTGTCTTGTACTCGTGAAAGAGAGAACATCGCCCCTACGAGGGAGAGGCAGGGGATTTTTTTTTTAGTGCGCTGTCAGTCATAGTCTCTTATAGTCTCTCTTTCCTTCTCTTTCTACAGTGCTTCACACTCTTACCAGCAATCCATAGGTTGCACCAACCAAAGCTCCTTGACCTTTTACCATTAACCGCAATGTAAACGTGACCTTCTCTTTGACAGGAACCGGCAACAACAGTCTCCGACAACTAAATCTAACAAGAACATCTCTGCCAGTAAAATAATGTGTTAAAAAGCCCCCCTCCCCCCTCCCCACACACACACACACACACACACACACACACACACACACACACACACACACACACACACACACACACTTCCTTTGCTTCATTAAAAAAACAAAAAACAAAACATATCTGCCAGACTGGGTAACAGGCCAGAACTAAAACATTAAAACAGAAAGTGATTGAGCAGTGAGACAAACTCGAGGGGCGTCGGTGACTAAATAGACCACAGACTGTCAGGAACTAAGAGGATAACTGAGGCTGATACGTAGAGAACAAAGGAGCCAACGGTCCACACCAAGGAGCTAACTTCTAGGCCACTGTGTTCACACGTGATCCAAAAAACAAAAGAAAAAAAGACGCTTTCTAAGCACGTTCCTAACCTACCACCTTTCCAACACGATGTGTCTGCCTCGCTGTTTGTGTAGTTTACAGTATCCACTTTCAAAACTAGACCTCATACAAATCTATGATGCATCTATAAACATTTCTCTGTTGGTGGACCAAGAATCTGTACTTGATATGTGTAGATATTTACTTTTTAGGCCCAGAACGGAACAGTCCATCAGTTTTTTACTCAGTGGTTCATTTTGCCATAGAACTACCAATACTGGACTGTGCAATGCTTTCCGAAACAGGAAAACAAGTTCTCGTTTGAGCTCGAAAGTGGCTTTCTTGTTGCCTGTGCATCCTGGGATCTGCGCTGCTGAGGAATAAAGTGAACTGAAGCAAAATGAAGAAGATAGCGGGAGGTTTTCACAGGGTGACTGTCATCCCTCTCTTTCTTTCCATCTTCCTTTTCGAATCGCCTTTTCTTTCTCACGCCTCGGTGCAGCAGCGCTGTTGGTTGAGTTTGACCTTGTGCTTGAGGCCGTCGTAGAGTTCGAAGTTGTAGTTCTCCAGGGTGGTGGAGGAGCGGGACGACAGGCCGCTGTAGGAGCAGGTGCAGTACAGCAGGAGGCCGGCGCACACCGCTCCGAGCAGGACGCCCAGAGAGCTCATGACGATGATTGTGACCAGTATGGGGTCAAGGGTGTACAGCCACGAGTTGTCCTTTTCTGAGACACGCGTGACTGGAGGCTCGGATGACGGTGATGGCGTGTTCCTCTCTGGGAACTGTAAACCTGTGACAAAAACGGGAGGTTAGTATGATGACAGGCAAGGAGTGGTTGTATAAACCTGTTATTGCTACAGTTAATGATGATATACATGACATGGGGAGGTGGGTTGCAAAGTGGCTTGGAAAAATCAACGTAAATACGAGATTTTACAATTACAGGTAAACTGCTGTTAATGAGATCAAGTGATCTGTCAGGAGTGCAGGTAAACTTGACTTCCTGACCCTACCTGATCTTTTGCGATGTTTTTGACTTACTAAAGAGAAAAGATTGTATCAAACATCACTAAAGTCATGAATTGTTGTGAGTAGAAGACTCGTTTACAAACAGAAACTAAAGTCCGAACAGAGGTAATTCAATTCAATTTTCATTTATGTAGTGCCATTTAATATCAAAACAACAGTTGCCTCAAGGCACGTTATATTGTAAGGTATGGACCCTACAAAAATTCAGAGAAAACCTCTAGAATTGGACGACCCCCTATGAGCAAGCAATTGGCAACAGTGGGAAGGAAAAACTCCCTTTTAACAGGAAGAAACCTCCATCAGAACCAGGTATAGCCATCTGCCACAAGGGAGATAACTTACAGAAATGTTCTTTATAATTTATAAAAGTACTTTATAGAAATGACAAAAAGGTACTGGTGTGAGCTCCGTGTCTTACCTCCACCTAGCGGGCCACCGTAAATTCGTCCATCGCCACCTGGTCCCTTAACTATCAGACAGAAGCACAGGACACACCGACTTTAAACACCAATCCGATTTACGCATAATTCTAGCTGTAATTACAACAAATAAACAAAAACATGCCTCTGCATTTGCCTCTGCAAGGTTTCCTTTAAATGCTCGCCAAGTGCCTAACTCGAGTTCAGTGTCTTTTTACACAATCACCAGAAATAACAGCAACCCTTTGCATACCGTTAACTGCTTTATATTTGCTGCTAATTTTGATATTACACATTTATACTCATACACACACTTATAAATAGAAAAATACGACTTTATTAATAATAAAGATCATTAAGATACATTCCTGTCAAACACACAGTCATCACATGGTATATCGATGGTGTAAGACTGCTCATTCAGTGTGAATAACAATGCAAACATGTCATCAAATCATTAACAATTCCCGTCATCATCGCTGCTGAAATCATCATTACTGTTCGACCGGTGCATTAGATCATCAAAGAAGAGAAAAATAATGGAGACAAAATGTCAGCAGTTGCTCGTGACAGTGCTTTGTGTGAAAGTAACAGGTCTGCCAGGTGGTGTGAACTGAAAATTGACGTGGATGTGAGTGTCTGAATTGTGGCAAGCCCTCCCTCCCAGCACTTTATTCGAGCCCAATAGCCTGAGAGTACTTCTACTTTAGGTGGGTTTTCTTTTAACTTTGTGCACATTTGTGTCCGCACATGTGAGTGTGTGTTTGGGCTCGCTTGCTCTTGGCGAGCAGTCAGGAGTGGGAGTAGCTGCTTGGCAAGGCACACGTCTAGATCTGCTGGTCTCTGATGGCCACCGGCATTATTAATACTGTTTCCAGGGCAACTGGTAGTTGGCAGGGGATTGGGCGATCGAGGTGCGGTTGATGGGAGGGAAAAGTGCTTACCGCAGACCTAATAAATGCTATCTGTCCATTAACTAATTACGACTATTAGAGGCTTGGAAGCATAATGGTGTTGAGATGGCTCGAGTAGGGTGTCCGGTCCCTCCTCCCCCCAAGTTGATTTAAAAGCACATGGGCAAAGTGTGCCAGAAAAAAGTGCAGCTTCTAAATTGTGACAACAAATTGAGGTGCATTTCTGCTGAGCTGCGGGCTTGTAGGTGATGGATTTTTGCAGCAGTGACAAACCAGGGAAAGCACGCCCCGTTAAGCTACAGAGTGAAGACCTCAATTTCATTCAATCCAGGGTGTTAAATTGAGCTCGTGTCAGATCTTATCACCTCTGTACCAACTGATGAGAGAGAAATTGCCGCTAGTGTGTCTATCTCGGTGACAATTACACGATAAAAATGGGTTTTTAGAGCCCATATGTGTTAAATATTAGCGAGAAGTGCATTAGCTGTGTCTTATTTTATGTCACCGGCCAATAATGGCACTAAAAAGGGAAAAAAAAACCCCAACCCTGAATGGCTGAAACTCTCTGCTCTGGTTTTTGTAATATCTCGGATTCCTCTCAAGGATGAACACATAAGGCAAAAACACTTCGCTTATGGCTTCCAGCTGGTCCGGCGGCATTGTGGGATTTGTAGGAGCGTAAATCAAGGATCGAAGCGGCGATGGCAGACAGATGTGTCTATTTACAACCCTAAAAACAACAAGCACATATTCACACTGGAAAACACGACAAGGCTCGGCTCAGGCACGGCTTTCATCTGGGCGGCTCAAAGACACGGAGAACAACTGGAGTGGGTGGTATGAAGCATGAATGGGAGTGGTACAACGTGCTTTATTACACAAGAAACACTGAAACACTGAAGACGGCCGCATCCATCACTGACTGATGCCTTTATCGAGAGAAAGATGAGATGTTCAATCAAACGGAGCTGGTTAACTCCGTTTGCGATGCAGGACTTTTTAAGTATGATGGATTTGCATTCCTTTGTTTTGTATTTTTGTGAGGTTTTTTTTTGTAAATGTGCACATGCTTTGTTGAAAAGGACAATGGACCCCCCCCCCCCCCCCCTCCACACATCCCATTTCTGTTCTTTTACAAACACCCTCGCTATTGGCACAACTCATATTGCAACTATCCTGTGGTTGTGTTATTACAGAGATACCAAGAGCTTCATTTTCTGGGCCTTGCCAGATCATTTCCACAGCTAGCACAGTTTTCTCCCCCCCCTCCCTCCCCCCGTCTCTCCCTCTCTCAGCACTGCAGGGTTCCTCGTGTCTCTGGGGTCTTGTTTTAGCCTCGTGGTTTGGCAGCTCTGGCTGGCTCCTTGCAGCGGAACCAGCTCAAAATCCCCTCCCCGTCCTCTTCCCCCTCGCATGCCTGTGTGTGTGTCCACGTTGGGGTCATTCCAGAAGGACCGTTGGGGTTATGAGGAGCCAGACGGCACTCAATGGTCCGAATCAAGCTGTTCAGACAAATAACTTACTCAGTCTTCAGTTCTCTCATCAGGAGCAGCATAGTGTGAAATGTCAACAGCAAAACTCCTTAATGGAACAGGGAAGGAAAAACAGCAACCGAAGCTACATCCATTAGAGAGCGTGCATGTGTGAGAGAGAGAGGCCACAGTGTTTCCTTTGCCAAAAAAAAAAAAAAAAATATCACTCAGCAATTTAGGACAATGTCTTTGTCGTCATCATCACCGCTGGGGGCTGTAAACTAAAGCAAGTGAGGGTTCGTCGATCTTGCTGCGCCACGACTCTCACTGCCATCGCCGGTCGGCGTCGTCCTCTGACGAATACAGTGCAGCTTATAAGCGCTTCGCTTTTAGCAGAGGGTACGGTGTCGGTCCCGGCTGTCCAACCTCACCGTCAGGACCGGCTCCACCCCGGGGGTGGCCATACTGGAGGACCAGTTAGAGTACTGGAAGCACTGCGAAGAGCTGTGATAGGCCACAGACAGTTGGCTCTTCTTGGTGGCCAGGTGTTGTCGACAGCAACAGAGTGCTCTGACCAAGATGGCCGCTGCCAGGAGAAGGAGGGCACCCCCGGCAGCCATAATGTAATACCAGTGGATGGGCAAGGGAGGCACAGGAACGCCTCCCCCTGGTGGAGAGATACAGAATAATTGGCCAGCGGGAAAAGAGAGGAGTGGCACTTGTTTTTCACTTTTTAACACTGAATTCGTCTGATTCTATCCCTGTTCGTGCACCTCGTGTGAGCATGCACAAGCATGCCAGTTGCAAAAAGAAAGAAAGAAAGACATCTCCAAGGCCAGAAAAGAAAGAAAGAAATGCATCCATCTCTGTCACGTAGCTTGGGTTGCAATTGGAGGACAAGTTTTCACACCAAGATCGTCAAGAGATTTGGTTTGAAATCGCTCCAATAGTTGGATCCAATCAAGTGCAATGCAAGCGATTTATTTCTTTTATTTCTTTATTTATTTTTTTTAAACAAAGCTCCAGTGAGATTTCTTGGTGTGAAACGAAAGCCAAAATAATTAGTCATAAAAGCACGCACACACATTGACTTAAGGAGCTTCCTCTTCCTGTTTCACACTGGCACAGGAAGTCACAAACAGCTCCTTGATATCATCTCAGAACCATGCAAGGATCAGCGGGAACATCACACGGGTATCCAGCGTTCCAGAGCTCGCACTCTCTCTCTCACTCTCTGAGCTCATATTGGACCGGGATTTGTTATTTAGCTGGCTCGAGTTGTCAGATTTTGTTTTGAGTACATAATTTATCCTGTTCTCTGTTCTTGGTTTTTCATTTTCCTTTTTTGTGTGTTTTTTGTCTGTCATGCATCAGCATCCTGGCCAGTCCTCTCCTTCTCAAGCCAAAGAGCTGTCTCCTCGGAGACCATCTCCACAGATCCTCTACTCTTCTGCTGCTCCTGGATTGAATTCCCCCTCCCCCACCCAATTCTCAAATTTTTGGTAAGAACCAGCTAACCGGCTTCCAAGAGGCCTCTACTCCTCTATCCAAGTCTACTAAAACAAACCCTTGTAGACAGAGTGGAAAAACTAAAAAAAAAAAAAGAAGAAGAAGCCCACATGCTCTTTCCAAAGCTGATGTGGAGAAGCTGTATGTAGGATGTCACACTGAACTAAAGGGAAAATGAAGCGGGGCTGAATACATCCTGATTTTTGGACCGTGTCACATAATTACAGGGGGAAATGGTGCGTGCTCCTGCTACTTCACACTGCACACACTCATTAGGCAGAGCTGACTTAGGGAGAGGAGACAGAGACACCCATGCTCGATGCTGCTCAGTCACTCTATCTGATTGCTTTCCACTGGGGACGCTGTTGTGTGTGTGATGATATTAATGTGTGTGTTTGTCAAGGGTTAGACACCGTGTGCTATATGTGTGCGCGTGTGTGAAGTCAGAGGAGTAGAAAAGCCGAAGAAATGCACACACATCACATTCGCACTGAAGCCTCCTAGCTCTTATCTTATTGGAAGACATTATGAGATGCCAAAACACTAACATCAATCTCATAGGGTCTCCTAGGATGCTCTAAATATTTTTCATGAGGCAGACAGTTATTTAAAACCCTTCAGGCTGTGTCAGGAAGCCTAGAACAGAGAATATGTAGCCCTTTTCAAATATGACTCCTTATGCCGTGCCGGATTCGGCTTCCTTCGCACGTACAGTCTTTCCTTTTGAGACCAATCCTTTGTTTCTGCTAAAACTGACAAGGTAAAACAATGAGCTACTGAAGCGATCTATCCTGTAACTTCACTAAAATTTGATCAAAATTAATTTGGTGTTTGGTGAATATTTGCCATTAGTACTCATTTAGAGACGTCTACATGCTGCCGGTGACGTGGCGAATCAGCTTTAAAAAGTCTGGAATCACAAAGCTGTGGCAGACTCGGCTTCTGTGCTGTCAGTGTAAAAGAGTGATTTAGACTAATTGGTTTTTCTTTTAGTGGTTCAGACCAAGCAAAAAAAGAAACCCAGGCTAGTGCATACCGACGGGCAGGAAGCAAGACCACAGGAGAAGTGACTTCACACCAAAGTCAGACTCACCTGGATTTTCGGGAGGAAAAGCCGCGAAGGGTTCTGTGAGGATAGAAAGGCGGGCGGGAGACAGGAGCAGAGAGAGAGGGGGGAGAGAGCGAGACAGCTGTTAGATAACTTTAAATATAAGAGAAAAAGTCAGCCAAATGTCACGCAAATGTCACAAGACTATCAAACTCCTCCTGAGGAAATTTTAAATTAATTCCTCAGATAACGCACATGAATTATGGCATTTACAGTGATTCTCTGCTAGAACGCTGTTTCAAACAGAGTATATTGTGGTTGCCAGGAATTTGAGACGGGAGTGTATAGTGTATAGGCTATGGGCGTATGTGTGTGTCTGCATTTGCAAAGTTCACACATTTCAAGTTGTTTATCTGCAGCGTCCAGTAAAACTGGAGCGGGCTGTGAATGCACAGAGCAGAACCTTCACTTTGATTGCCTGGAATGCAAACACAGAGAAATGATGTGTGTGTGTGTGTGTGTCTCAGTGTGTGGTACATGGTGTGTGTGTGTGTGTGTGTGTGTGTGTGTGTGTGTGTGTGTGTGTGTGTGTGTGTGTGTGTGTGTGTGTGTGTGTGTGTGTGTGTGTGACTGGGGGTGGGGGTTGAGAAAGAGAGAATGGGAGTAAAGGAGCAGGGGGTCCGACTTGGGAACTGGCGCCTTTTGGCGGGAACGCCGACGTACTGTGAAAAACTCAACTGTGTTTGGTGATAAGCAACATCCCAGCATGCTCTGGGAGTGGCAAAGGAGGAGAGGGAAGGGAGGAAGGAGGAAACACAGCAGCAGGGAAGCAGGAGGGGGGCTGGGCTATCATCTTTGCCTTCCAAGCTGCTGTGCTGCTTAGACTCTCTCAGGACTCGCATGACACACACAGACATATAAAAATGACTCAACACAAACACACAGAAAAACACTGGCCATACACATAGACACACACACTTTCCCTCTGTTACACTCTGCCACCCCACCCCCGCTGCCATGTTCCCACTGTGGTCCGGCTCCAAAGCACACTGGACGTCAGTCAGAAGTGATGACGGCAGGTTTTTGGCTCCGAACCGCCGGCTTGGTCTCTGATCTGTTTAACACCCTCTCCGAAGCCCCTGCTCAGGCTAGATTAGGGAGGCTACACTGGAGCTCGGCTCGTGCGAGGCACCCAGAAACTTGCTTGGGAAACAGCCTGTCTAGTAATTCCCTTTGATGGCTCGGGAAAATCTCTGTTTACAAATACGACAGAGGAGGGAGCGCAGGAGAGATAGAGGGAGAAAGAGAAGAGAAATCTAATGAAACATAGATTAGCATCGCCGGGGCCCACGGGGCGTTTATGGCCTAGTTTTCCTATTCTTCGTTTCTTTTCTTTCTTTCTTTTTTCGTGGAGGAGTAAACGCTGTCCCTCCCTCTTCTTCCTGCTTTCATCTCTGTGTTCGGTGGGCTCTTTGGAGGAGAGGCTGTCTCTGAAACTGGGATGGGAGGGCGAGTGAAGGATTGGTGTGTGGTGGTGCTGGTGTTTCTCACTTCATGTGTGTCACTGCTCAAGGGCCTTACGACTGAAAGTCGAGGTGGTAGTAGGGAGCAGTAGACTGATAGGAGGGTGAGATAATGTGTCATGAGTGTGTGTGTGTTTATCTGTAAAGATTTTTGGCAAGAAGAAGCAAAAATAAAGAAACAAAGCATATGTGCGACTTACGTGTACACTCCGTCAGTGGGGTGCTCGAGCTGATGTGGATGTTGTCTATCCAGATGTGCCCTCTGGTGCCGTGCACAAAGTAACCCTCCATCACAACCTACCACAGCCGAAAAAAAGGAAGGATGAAGAGGAAGAGGAGGAGGGAAAAGTTGAAGGAAAAAGAAGTGAGAGGAAGAGGAAGACGGATGACAGGATGGGGGGTGGAGGCACATTGAAAATGGGGACAGCAGCAGGAGGAGGAGAAATAGGATAAAAACTTAATACGGTGCCTGCGATTTCAAAGTTGCACTCAACACTTGCAATCATCCTCCCTGCTCTGCAACCATCTCCCACTTACTTTTTTATGAGAACATTAACTGCTTGTGATGTCTCTGACAAATGCACAGCCAACTTCCAAACAGTCCCACAGCCAGAGGGACACTACAGCGTACTTTATTTCAAATGTGGCCTAAAGTGACACAGAGCTTAAAACTGATACTGTCATATGCTCTGCTACAAGTACAAGTGCGTACTTTAGCTTTAGAAGAAGCGTCACATGGGCAGCTGAACTACAAGAAGCAAGGGGAAGACACACAGTCATGGCCCTTTTATACTTGGAGTGTTGTGCTACTGGCGTGTACACCTGTAGCTGAGAACAATACTGCAGCGGCTACCATGGCGAGCATGAATGGAAGCAGCTGTGTGATAAAAAATAATAGCAATGCATGATGTGGCCAACAGGCCGGGTATACTGGGAACTGAACCGTCCTCAAGACAGACTTAAAACTCTGGAATAGCTTTAGAGCACATGGGTCACATGCTAAACCTGGTAAGCTAAGTCAGTACCCAAGTAAGTAAACTTTATTTAGATTTAGGAAAAACTCTTAACAGTAAAACAACAATTAGCAGCTAAGCAGTACAAAAAAACCTACCACCAAAAGAAATGGGTGCGATCGCTAACGGTCGAAAAAAATTTTTTTAAATTGTATGCTAGCTAAAAATATTAAGTACAGTAGAAATTGTTGTCTAAGTTATGGCTAATCTGTTGAAACGGTTTGTGAAAACCTTAGCTAAAACTTGTTAGCTAAAACACCTGCAATAGAGCTGAAATAGCTAGCAAAGTTACTGTTAGCTAAACATGATGATTAAGTATGATGGGGAACTGTAACTAGAGTAGCAGATAAAAGTTGTGGATAAATGTTTGAACACTTAAGCTAAAAATCTTGGGTAAACAGCTGAAGCTGAAGTCTTAACATGGCTGAATGAAATGGCTAAGAGCCTGCCTGAAAGTTTAAAATAAGTTCAAGTTAACAGATTTTGACATGTAGGTGGTGGTGAGCGCATATAATGTAGCTTTGGGGGTGTTTAAGATTGAAAATATTAACAGCCTACTCTAATAAAACTACAACAGAAATGTTTTCCCTTCCTGGGTAGCATGTAATTAAAATGTCTAACTCAAGATTACAAAGCCTGATTCGTATATAACTCAATAATACTGGTAAGAAGCTTGATTCTTTCATCTCCCATTTGCCTTCTTTTTAAGTATTTATTTTATGAGCACACAGAGTTTAACCACTACCTGGACGCTTTTAGGAGATCGAGGTAGTATGGTCCGACCCTCCTTCCAGACGGGGCCCTGATCGTCTGTTAGTGTCCACAGGACCGTCTCTTCAAAGTGGGCGTCCTGTACCAGGACCCTAAGGTGGCCCTGGGCCTCCCCCGATATCTGGTAAGAGAAGACTAGACACAGGGGCCCAGTGTCGGCGGTCAACACGGGGCTCAAGAGCCGAGCTCGCTGCTGCTCAGTCTTTAGGCTTGCGTCTATGTACAGATAGCTGTTGAGCTCTGGAAGGGAAAGAGATATGAGAAGAGATAGAGCATGAATTTTTCTAACTCGGACCAAAATGGGATATAAAAGTTGCCACATGCACATTCCTGTTCACAGCAATTTCACAGCAAAAATGTGAAACTGAGCCCTTTCTGCATTCTCTCCACATTACCGAAAGTGAGCAGGGTTTTGTTTTAACCTTGAGTTCGCTGGTTACTGCAGTCAAATGAAAATGAAAAAAATAAATAAACAGAAGTCTGATTTAATGGATTTTCATTCAGGCCTCGAGGCAATAAAAAAATGAGAAAATGAATGGTTGTGTAGACTTTTGATATTCACTGTAAATGGATGCTGCTGCAGTTAGTCTGTGCGGCAAACACGGAGCGTATACACAAGGGAATCGTGTGTGCGTACAGTGAGAGAATTATCGTCGTTAATCATGACTTAGACACATATATAGACATGCACACATGTACATAATGGCTTTTCACACGGTTAGACATTTCCAACATGACTGTTCAAAAAAAAAAAAAACCCGAGACACTAATCACCAGTTGCTAACAGGAATGGGATCACCACAGCACAATAGTCATACCAAACAATAGGGATGTGACAAATATAAACACAGAGAAGAATAGGTCCACTGAGAGCGTCGTTCATACACCGAGTGCTAGCAGAACTCCAGCCAAGACCCTTGAGGCGTTTTTTTCTTCATTCCCTTTCAGGTAAATGACTTAACCAACGGAAAAGTCCAACAGAAATGCATCCCCCTCCACTTGTTTACACCAGAGGATGTTTAGTTTGCAAATTGGAAAGCGACACGAATTCCATTGTGAGAGACCGCATGTATGAGTGACTGCCTGTGTGAACGAGAAGCACAGATTGCATTGTGCATGCCCGCGTACGTGTGAGAGAGCGGCTCGGTGAGGTGTCTGCTGAGGAATTTCTTAAGTGGGCCCGGTGGGAAAGAGTCCAATATCAACAATCTGCAGATTAAATCACCTGCTTTATCAAGAACAACTGTGTGTGTGTCTGTGTGTGTTGGTGCCTGTGTGTATATGTGTTCCAGCAATTAAGCGCCTTTCTGTTTTATAGGCGAGAGAAAAACTACCACAAGAGTAAGAAGTTTCAATTGGCGTGCAGTAGCATCCACTGCCATTGCAATCAGGTTCGCTGAGTGACTAAGTGAGTGAGCCTTTTTTTGCTCCGTGTGTCCAGCAGATCACACTGGAAGTATCTGGGGGGGATAAATCTTCTTCCTAGTTGACAGCTCCCCTCTGCCCGCCATGTGTCGCAGTCGCCTGTGTGTGACACCTAAGACAGCGTGTGACAGTGTGTCCCTTGGCCCTCTGCAGCTTTGAATGAATGTGTATGTGTCACTGTAGGAAATATATATATATATATATGCATACAACTGGAGAGGATGTGAAATCAGGTCTCCATGAGGCGTTTTATGACTTATTTCAATGTGCGCACCAAAGCTTCCTCCATTCTCATCGCCTCGCATTGAAGTGGAGTCTGTTGCCCCCCCCGTCCATTGTTGTGCCTCTTGTTCAGCAGACGCCTCATAATCGAGGCTGCCATGCCGGACACAGCAAAAAGAGAGCATTATTAATCTATTTCACAGAGGTCTGCTGCTGGCATGAGGAAAACAATGATTCAGTCTACAAAGCCCAGTTTATCACACTGGTACTAGCATGATAAACTAGGAAGTCTGATTTAGTATTAGAGTAGATGGTGGCTATTTCTAGGATTGTGTGTTATTACTGTTACTATGACTGGTGTCAGGTGTGAGGTCAAGAGGTGATGAGTTTGTGGTTTCTGGGAGAGGTGAGGGAATTCTGTAGAGGATTACAACAGTGATTTGATAGGGGCGAAATAAAGATCCTGCAGGCTGGCTGGGATATCGTGACCTTTGACCCCCGTGGGAAAATCAAAGGCTCGGGCGGCGTGTCAAAATGGCTGGAAATGATACTTCAGGCATGAAAGCCACCACGGCCTGTCTAATGAAAGAAGCCGCTTTGAAGCCCCCCCCGTCATAGATTTTTTATGACCTGAAGAGGTCACGCTTCAAGAACATTTCCTCCTTTTTGCCACGAGATCTGCTGTCCTCCTGAACATGACCGAGGTGACATCACTGAAGCAGGTTGGGTGTGTGTGTGTGTAGGGGGAGGGAGACTGGACCTCTTGTTTAATTTTCTCCAGCTGCAGAAATGCTAAATCTTTCATGGAGACTTGCTCGAGACCAATGAATTTTAAAACAATCTTGGGATAACGATCCCTTACCCTGAAAAATTATAAATAGTGCAAAAAAAAGAAACCCAGCAGGAAACCTCTTCTGTACCTTTTAACAACCTGCCAAATGCTGGACTTTTGATCTGTGGGTATGCGTAAGAGGAAAATGAATAATTATTTCTTCAAGGAATGCCTAAGTAAATGGAAGTCTACACAGCATCATGTGGGACGTGCCTGAGGTAATTGCGGGGCAGTAAAGGACGACTGGGGATAACCACTCGTCTTTGGAATCTCCTGCTCTGAACTTAATTGGAGCCGCTCGGTCTTAACCCCTTCCTGCCGACACTTCATTCTGACACGCAGAGGTGAGCCTCTGCATGTCACATGCGAGGCTGTGTGCGCTTTCCGTGGAGGCTGTTCTCCCTCTGATTCCCTCAGTTCATTTTCATTCTCATTCACTCGGAAAGAGCGGCGTGGCTGGCGCACGGCGTCGCTGACAAATTAGACTGGTTTCAATTTAAGGAATTATTTTAATCAAATTGAAAAAGGGGGGACTCAATGAAGATTCAGAAGGAGACTGACTCCATTTAATTATAGAAAATGCAGTCTTGTCTAGACCCGAGGAAGTTGATGGAATAAACGGCATGCTTGTGCAATTTCTGCACCCAAGTAGAAGTCTGCTTGCAGCTGCATACATAAAAGCTGATACCCCACAATAAAAAAAAAAGGAAAAAAGAAAAGAAAATGGGGTTCCCGTAGTGAACCTGAGCTGCTAACTGCACTGTTCTGTAAATCCATCCGGACATAACTTCAGATCTATTAAATGCATGCTGTGCAGAGGAAAAACACTGAGGGAGTCGGACCAAATATTCACATTTCTGTTAAGGAGACTCACCGTTGCTGTGCAGGGACCAGAGCAGCGGGGCGTTGGGGTCGTGTGTCCACCCACACAGGCCGTGGTCGAACTCACACACGGCGTCTGATGGGGGAGAGGTGGCCGCTGTAGAGGTGGAGAGCAGCCAGGGAGAAAAAGGCAGCGTAAGAGCGAGAGCCAAAGGGCAGATAGGCGTGAGAAATCAAAGTCATTTCAGATACAGGAGCATTTGCAGCTGATCTACATAATGTCATGTAGCGCTTTCTCAGGCCTTTCATCTTTCTTATTACAGCTTCCTAATGACGCTATTAATCCAGCATTTCTTTGGCTCTTTCATATTAAACACCTGTCTCACCTGTAGTCGTGACAGGGACCGTGGTGGTTTCAACGTCAGCTGGCAGCGTGGGTGTGGTGGTGCCTGCTGGGGTTGAGGTTTCTGCAGGAACAAACATAATGAAACTTGGGTCAAAGGTGGCCCCTTAAAGATAAGATAAGATAAGATAACTCTTTATTGTCATTGCACAGTCATACATAGTACAGTAGTACAATGAAATTGGAAAAACTGTCCTACGTCGGCACTACATATAACACAACACGACACGATATGACACATCACAACGTAACAAACAACACAACACAGTATATTAACTTAGTATAAAAAAGAAGAATAAGTGTATGTGTATTGCACACTGTTATTATTGCACATTAATTATTATTGCACCTTGTTATAAATATAAATATTAAAGCCAACTTCAGACAATGTATTACTGTAAAGAGGGCAGCAAAATGAACTGCTGTTTGTTAAAGACATTATTTATGTGGCGATATGTCCTTTGGGAGCTGCACATTAGGGAGGGCCAGGAAATACAAACGGGAAAGAGGAAATGATAAACTCACAAAGGCAAAAAAAACAACAAGACGGAAATGAAGTCTTTAATAATAACTCTCCATTGTGCCTCCATAGATCATAGACTATGCAAAAGATAAAGGTAGTCTCCGGGTGTAAAAAGTGAAAGCCATTCAGGTCATGGAGTCTTCTTGACAATCAGCAGGGGGTCAGAAGGAGTGAGATTATATAGACGGCTATGGGAAAATGACCCCTCTTCTCACTTGATTTAATACAGCAGAGAGGAGTTTTTGCCCTCATTCACTACTTTTATATCTTCTTCATTAGAACATGATGCTCATTTTGCAAATCATGGTCTTATTTAAGAGTAAAATACACAATAAAGAAGAGCATCTTTTATGGGGTAGCTATCAGAACCACCCCTTACATCATCATATATAATGATAGTAGCATATGTATGTATGATTCCTATTTCCTCCTAGACGAACGGAAAAATCTTGATAAAACTTTGACATGCCACTGAGAGTGCCGGCACCTATGTGGTTTATACAAATACTTTATTCAAATGTCACAATTCAAAGTTCAATCTGCAATCAATGTGCGCATGTTTGTTGACATTACTTGTGCCTATATTATGTTTATTTAGTTTGTGGATGTTCATTATGCTTTTTACCGGTGCAGCCGAGCGAGTTCTTGATATAAGTTGCTATAAAAAGTCTAGAAAACAGCACAGAAGAGCAGACAACAAGAATGCGGGATAAGAAGACGTAGTTTGGGTCGTCGCAGTAACTAAGAAAGTAAGTAAGGTTTTTTTCTTTTTAATTTAGTGTGTTTCGTAGCTAGGGTGATGAAAAAATTGCTCAAAGGCTTCAAAAATGGGCGAAAGCAAAGTAAGCTAGCGACAGTTATTAGCACAAAGAACAGAAACAGTGAACTTGGCTCATTAGAAACACAAAATAACAAGTTTGTTTGATCCAAGCAAACAAAAAAGAGTCGCTCAGATGAAGCAGGAAAATTTGACTTCTTGTTTTATGAATGTTGATTTTTGTTACGCTAAAACAGCTAATGTCTCCGTTAGCATGCACCTTTATGCAGGACAATGCAGTAACGCTGCTGCTTGAGTTAATGACCTTATCGTTATTTTATCATAACTCAGCACAAAGAACGTGCCTACAAATCGTACGTGGTACTGAAACCGCCTCACTGTACTAATTCATGTCTCCTGTCAGAGGAAGGCACAGAAAACCCAAGAGAGCCCTTGTCATGTTGTGTCTGGGAGCTCAGGCGTCAGAATCTGTCTACCATACATACTGGCTCGGATATGCAGACGCACAAATGAACAGGCACACATGTCCACATGTTAATACACACACACAAAACAGGCTGGCGCTAAGGCTGATGGATGGCTCTGTCTAACAAACTCCCCTCGACCTCGGACGGGATGATCGCACTCTGGGACCACTCTCTCGCTGTCAAGAAGGGTCTAAAAGCGCGCACACACAAACACACACACTCCATCACCCACTCTGCTGTCTGTGTGAACTGTTGTGCGTGTTTGTCTGTGTGCATTCGAGGGCCTTCTTCACTCCATAACTCAAGCGCGCTTGGAAGGAGGGAGAACAAACACAAAGTGAAATGTATGATTTTCGGTCCTCCATTAACGTCAACTAAATCTCGCATATATCAAAAAGAAAGACAAACAACACACAGAGGCATAAATAATCCAGCAGTTTGCTCATTAAAAGATGTCAAATGCACAAACACACACACACATGTTGAGCAGGCTGCAGCTAGAATGTGAAGTGGTAGGAAGAAAAAATAAAAGCGTAGTTATTAAGAGCAGATGGGCTGACCCTGGTGAGCTGTGGGAATTTACGCAGGAGTTTGGGTCAGCCAAAGATCCAGATGTATAATAAAAAAATAAAAATGCAGGTGTTTTCCCACATTTACATTTAGTCAGCCAACTTGTTTTTCTTTCTGTTTGTCTCTTTTCTTCAAATAGATTCAGACATTTGACGACGGTGACTCCTAAAAAAAAAGGCTAAGTGCACTCTCAAACCCATTATATTTCATTTTCCTCTGCCTTTTTCTTATTTAGTCCATCTAAACAACTCCAAGACTTGGATGCTTGATGATCGTGTGTGAGACGGGAGGTTGAACAGACACACACGAGTATCTAAGAAGGAAAAAGCGTGACATGGATTAAGCATGTCTAACGCCTGTTAGTGGCAGTACTAGAGGCCTCCTGCTGTTAAGGTTCCTCCTTCTGTGAGGCTACCATTATCATTTAAAGGCTGCGAAAAAAGCAATGAGGGCAACAAACACACTGTGATACGCAATTGATCTGCTTAAAAGAACTTCCCGCGGAAACGAGCGCAGCGGCGCCACAGCTGGAGAAATGGCAGAGATGAAAAGGCTGGCCACAGCTGGCGACTGCTTCTGACATTAACCCAGCGTTAATGTCACGTCCTTTATGCCAGCTATTAACTACCTAATGAGACTCTTATCGCTGCCGGTCCACTGGGAAGCAAAAGCATGGAAAGCAACTCTACCCTTCTACCTCTCTTCCACCCATCCGACTTTCAAATGGGCCACCACGTCTTGTTCAGCGTCTCCTCTTTATTCCTCCTCTTGTGTTCGCTCTTCTCGCCGTCTTTTGCTTTTTGTGTGTGTGTGTTTGCCTTTTTATTCCATTCTGACCTTTTGGGTCCTCTAGTTAAGTCTCAGGAGCGGGCGTTAAAATAAACCATCTACACATTACCTGAGCACGCGCCGCAGCTAAACACACACAAGCAGAGAGCGCGCAGTCGAGTCCATTAAGATTCTGCCCAGCTCCTGAGTACTCTATGCTTTCAAAGGTCAGGCCTTGTCACAGTGTAAATGTGCTGACCTTTCCAGGGTGTGACAGGAGTGTTTTGGGGGGCGATGGGAATGGCACTGACTTGCGCGCTGTTTGCAGGGTGTGTATGTTTGTGCGAGGCGAGGGGGAGGTAATGTGTGTTAACGTATGTGACCTGCCTACCATGCCCCGAGTCCTGTCCTTGATGCGTGCGAGGACGGTGTCGCGAGAGCTGGGTTTGTTGCACAGCAGAGAGGGAGCCTTGAAATGCAGGAACAGTCCCTCTGCAGCAGAGTGTTGTCTTACATAATGTGTCTGCTGCTGCAGGTGATGATGCAAGTCATCATCATGCACGGGATGAGATACCAACACTTAGAACCGGGGGCCCTAGGCGGCTGGAAGGGGGTGGGGCAGTGCTGACATAGATAATCGAGATGCACGCTCACATATGCGAATGCACATGCTCACAGACAAATTCTTCTGCGGGCTTGCTTTTCAGTGCACACGCAGTCGCCAAACACACACACACACACGGTCGTGAGGGCCAACCCACCCTGTAAAAAAAGACATTGCTCACTTCCAAAGAGTCTGACTCAGCAATATGTCAGAGAAGAGGAAAAAAATCTTCAATTATGTAGAAAGCTTTTCTGTAAATCTTTCCCTGGCAGTACTGAGTGCACACACACGCGCGCACACACACACATACACTCAAACACACACAGAGTGATGGATGCATGCACGCAGATATACATACACCCCAAAAGAACACAATGGGGTAGACAAGTAGCCATTATTTGATATTTTGCCGGGTGGGGTTAAGTGCTCAGATCAGGGATCATCCTCACACACACAGACGCACCATCACTTCAAAGATTGCATTAATTTCCTGGAGAGTTGCCCTAATCGCTACTTGTGGGACTCTAATGCTAAATCAAGCCTTTACCTTAAAAACTTAATCATTTAAGTTAAGGGTTATTGCTTTTTTCTCCCCCAAACGGGAGGCGGGTTCCCTTATGACATGAATAATGCAAGAGCACAAACAACAAAGAAGCCAAAATTCCAGAGGCTGGGATGCTGTGAAAACACTGGGATAATGCGCTTACTCCAAAGGCGGAATGATATAGGACCGAACTGAGAAAAATGGTTCAGAGCGATCATCATTTGAAAGCTAGCTCTACTGTGTTTACTCGAATTATGGAGGGAGGACAGACAGCTTGAGGTGTGTGTGCGTGAGCATGTGCGAGCTCTACTTTTCAGTGCTCCCAAGACTGAAATGAGCCTACCTGGATTTTTTTCCCCTCTAAAATTTCATCCCTGAGCTCATAAATTTTTCATTCTGGGAGTACGTACACTAAAAAAAAAAAATGTCACCGTAGAGGATCTGTGTGCAAGTCAGTTGTGTGGCAACAGTGGGGGGGGGAGCAGGAAACTGAAGGAGTCAGGACCAACAGCAGCGAGCGTGGAAAAGAGGTGCGAGTGATGAGTAACAGAGGGGAGGAGACGAAAAGAGAGGAGGCATGGAAACGAAGAAAGAAAAAAAAGAACAAAAACATTTTTAGACCCACGCACTGGGCCTCGGGGTGGGAACGAAACAACTGCAACCATGTGGAGGAATAAGGAGAGAGAGCTCTTATTGTGCTTTAGTGCGCTGGGGTTGATTTGGGGATAAATTTCATCCTCTTACTTTAAATCACAATAAGGTGAAAAGTAAACCGAGAACATCGCTGAAGACTGGAGAGAACGACTGAAAAATCAGAGGGGACGGAGAAGCGAATGATTTACGGGATGTCAGCGGTAGTCTGTCATCCCTGCTGAGTTCTGGTGGTCTGTGAACAATGTGTGACCCTTAACAATAGTACTGTGTGTCACGTTTCCCCCGAACTCTCCACTCCATCTTCAGAAAGTCAACTCTGTCAAGCGGTAAAGCCTAAAATACTTTTTCATTTTGTTCCCATTTTTTAAGTTGGTGTTTAGTGTTCATTGGTTTCTGTGCTCTGCTTTCCACATGTCAATCATCAGGCAGCAGCTAATGTAAAACACATTGTTTCCTGTGCTCTGGAGGAGCTCCAGGGGAGGATAAAATGACCAGGGACCAGGTGTTTAGAGCAGCAAGCTTTAAGCAGCAATCATAAACTGCATGGAACTTCCCTCTGTTCATTTTTTTTTAAAACTGTACATAATGATGGATTGAAAATATGGGTGCTGCATCTTTGCACAACGAGGCACATGCAAACAGACCTGTGCACATTTACATTTATATTGTAGACTCTGTGGTTACTTTGTTAGCTGGACGTGCAGTAGAGGTGATAATGACAATCGCTCTTCAACTGTGCTCTTCATCAGGTCTTGTGGGAGCGCACAAAAGCACATAAATCGTCCTAATGAAAGCGTAGCTTGACATGCTTGTGTAATAAAGTACGTGTCTAGAGAACATGCATGAACACTTTGCTCGTTTCCTGTGGCGCGTGGGGTAAACGTGTGTCAAAACATGCATATGTACTCATGTTTAAGCGCTGTTGTAAATGTTGAGCTATACTGCCCAGTCGTCCTTTTGAGGCACAGAGGGAGTGGTAAACAGTGAAGGTCCATATGTGCGTGAGTGCTGATGATAGCGCGTATGATCCGACAGCACTTTCACATCTGGATAACAGACCACGCTGGAGAGTGAACTGATAAATACTCTCTCTCTCTGGGGATGCATTCATTTAAACCAAGCTCTGTCCACTGCCTGCCGCTCACGGTGCTTGTGGATACTTAAAGACAACCTAACACAAAGCCCGGTGTAATAATATCAGAAATAAATCAGAAATAATTACTTTTCAAGGGTGCTATCAGTTTCCCTTTCTCAGCTCACACGGGGTGTCTCTTTTCACCTCTGGCATCCTCTAATGACTCTCATGCATATCTAATGTGAGGCTCGCTTTTCTAGTGAGCCACCTTCCTCAAGGTCCATTCACTTCTGGTTAGAGTTCATTACAGCGCAGGGCAAATAATTCAGCCTGGAATACTGTAGGCAGCAAATTATCATATATGTATATAAAATGATCCTGTGTCAAACAGATCACGGCCGAGCGTCCTACCTGGAAGGTCACAGCCCAGAATCTCCACTCTCATCCCAATGCCTGCCGGAGACCACCGCTCTGGATAGAGTCGGATATACTGGGCCACTGTCTCCTCGAAATGCCGGAGCTCTGGGGTGTCATAGTGTGTGTTCCCCTCAAAGATCTGCACAAAAAAACCAACACTGCAGTGGTTACTGAACTGGTAAAAAAAACACACAAGAGCATCGCTCTTCATCTGCCCGCCTCCCCTGACCCACCTTTGGTAAGCTAGTCTTGCTGTCCATGATGAAATTCCAATCTTTCCCATTCAGGCTGTGTGCCACTTTGTACTTCCTGACAAATGCCCGGTTATCTGTGGCCGCTCCACTTCCTGCGTCTCCTCCCCTCGCTCCCTGGGTGATGACTCCGCGCACTGTCTTGGCTAAACCCAGGTCCACCTGTGGAGTTTAGATTTATAATTTAATTCAATTCAATTCAGTTTTATTCATATAGTACCAAATCACAACAACAGACACCTCAATGTGTTTTATATTGTGCGATAAAGACAGTTATAGAAAGAAAACCCAACAATCACACTATGAGAAAGCACTTGGCAACAATGGAAAGGAAAAACTCTGGGCAGCCTTTTTTTTTTGGGGGGGGGGGGGGGGGGGGGGGGGACTCATGCATAAGAACAATAGTTATGTTTTTATGGCAGCTGTGCTCTGTGACTGCGTTTTAACTTAACTAGAAGGTAAAGGTGTATGCTAACATCATTGCTTTAAAGTAATGCACAATAAATGCAAAGTCTACCTGCAGCCACTCCTCTCCAGCCAGTGGCTGCGCAGGAGCAGGGAACCAGCCGGAGCGGCTGGCCACGAGACGGGTGCTCCCGGGATTCCACACCACGTCCCTGCTGGATGAGGTTGAGATCTGGGCATCGGGGAGCAGGCCGGACATCAGCCCCTGCAGGTCTGAACACGGAGCATCTGGAGGGGAAAGGCAGAGAGGGTTAGAGACTTCTTTAGTTTCCTTGGAAGAAGAGACCACCTAACGCTGTGCTGGTACACATTTTCCCACCGGGGAGCTGTTAGGCTTTGCCGCAGGATCACACTGCTGGCCACTGAGCATTAAGAGTTTAGACTGGAACAAACAGGAAAAGATGAGGTGAGAGACAAGAGAATGGAGGGAAGAGAAAAAAAAGATGTGTAACAAAGCGCTACCGCTTCATGTTCAATATGCAATTAGGCTGCCATTAGTGAGATAAAAGCATATGTTAAGTCTGCTGCTGAATGGGCACACTTGTCTGCTTTGCATGCACGCTTCTCACATCTCACATCTAACAAAAAAATACCCTGAGCGCCATATAATGCTGTTCGGAGCATTGTTTCTTTATATTCTGTACAATAGCTCGTCTGCTCATTATGCGGCACACATTTTATGTACATTCGCCGACTGAGAGAAAGTTTTATGTACACGTCAAAGCGCTCGGAAATGAAACTCATTCTGATACGGATGGGTGAGTAGAAGTGAAAATAAAATAATATAAAACTTGCTCAGGGAGTATGTGTGAGAGAGAAATGAGGATTAAGGGGATAAAAATAAGGTATGATACAAGGAGCGGGGAGACAGAGAAGTAGAGAGTGGAAAGAAAGAGTGGTGACGGGGGTGAAAATAAAAGCAGAGAAGGAGACTTGGAGCGGGAGATGACGGCTTGGGGAGGCTGGGAAAAGGAGAGAGAAACGCAGAGATGAGTCGCCTGCAGAGACAAACAGTGGGAGAGGGGGAAGGACGGAGGTAGGCGGAGTGAGAGACGAGCGGCGCTGGATGAGCGCGGAGGGCGTCGAGAGAGACGGAGGGGAAGAGATGTGGGGAGATGTTAGTAGTGCTGACGGTTTAAGAGAACACAGATCAAAGTTTCATGCTGTTATGTCACCGCAAATGCAGGAGATGTAAATAATGAATAAAAAGCGCAGGAGACGGAAAACGTGTGACTGTGCGTACGTGTGGGAAGGGTCTGTGTATATTCCAAGAGGTGTGCCTGCTTTTTTTTTGAGGTCACGCGCTATATTTAGAAAGCGCCTGTGTGCTGAAGCACCTGTACTGTAAGAGCTAATAGTTATTCCAATAGCAGCTGTTGAGGCTGAGGCGAATCACAGTTTCTGATGTAAGAGTGAACGGGGAGCCATGAATGATTGATCGGTACTCGTTTCTCAATCTAGAGGAGCTCACGGAGCAAAGACGGAACATCAAAAAAAAAAAAGTCTCCAAAACCATGAGAGGAAAAATGGGATGTGGTGGTGGTGGGGGGTGGCAGCGTTGAGGGAGTCAGAGACAGAAAAGCGAGCAGAGGGGAAAAAGAAGTGGGAGAGCACTGAAAGAGGAAAATGACACTGGTGGTGCCTCTGGAAGAAAGAACAGAAGCAGAAGCTTTCTTTAATTAGCCCGAGGGTTGCCATGTTTAAACCACAGCAAGAGGGATTGTGGGAGAGAGTATAAATACACATTTATGTCTGAATGCGTGTGTGTGTTTGATCCGGCCCTTTAAGGTTTAGGAAGTTAAATGTCGTTAAAGCTGATGGGTTTTTCTTTCTTTTCTTTTTTTTTAGAACAAGTTAGATTTTAAAACAGTGCTTTGTGTTGGTTGAACCGAGAGGATAGAGCTGGTGCATGATTACTGATTTAAACCCACGAAAAGTTCTGTTCAAGCCATGAATGCAAAGCGGGATGATTCTGGCAACTTGACTGCTTCATGACACGCACACACGCCCACGAACGCACCTGTAATCTGGCATCCGTAGAGCTCGAAACGAAGGGCGATGCCGTTCTTCCAGGTCTGTGGTCGGATCCGAACGAACCGGGCCAAGACCGGCTGCGGGACGCGGTTGAGAACCACTTCGGCCGGATCTGTGTTAGCGTGGAAAATCTGGACAGCAAAGGCAAACAGAGGACAAGCAAAAAAGGGTTGGTTACCATCAGGAGGAGATGTGCTGTAACTTAGCTGTGCTGTCTTATTTCTCTTTCTCAGTTAGACACACACACACTCTTGTTTGAACACCCACCCACAGTGCACAGTTTCGCTTGGCTTCACACACACACACACACACACAGTGGCAGGCCGGACAAAGCAGAGACAACCCAAACACGGATCCAGTGTCACCAGCCCAGCTGTCGATGTGTTTTAGGGTCGAAGGTTCAGCACCGGGAGGCTGGGAAAGCCCATCGAAGGATGAGATTTCCTCAAACACACACACACACCCTATCGACATCTATCGACTTCCACACACCTCTGCACTGGTGGTCATAGGAAGCTGTGGGAGAGTTGACCTGACACGACAGAACATGATTAGCCGCCGGAGGCAGGAAGTCTGTCCAGGTGGGCAGGATGCGAGTGAAATTCACTTCCTGACGCTTCCACAGCATCAACATTCACTTCTCCCTGAACCGCTCCTTTCCTCCCGTAAGGCAGCGGGGTGGGGCAGCGAGGGTGGAGGGGTCAGAGGGCAAATGTAACCGCGGTGGTCAAGTTACTTCCTGTTGTGGGCAGAAAAGTGTGCAATCGCCTGTGATGCTCGAGAGAATCGGATGGGAACACTCAATTGTGACTTCCTCCTCTTTCCTTCCCCGCATCCTCTTCCCTCCACTCTCGAGCCCACATCGCTCTGAATCCCTTCATCTCAAAAACCTCCATTTTCTACATAAATCTCCTCGTCCAGACCGCGCTGTTGATGTCTCCTCACACCTCCCGTATGCCTTTCTTCCTCTTGCTGGCGGCTACTCACTGTAACCGCACACCCAGACGCAGGAAACCACAGGAGCCCACACAAACACGGTCACATCCCACGCACCCAGATAAGCAGGGTGAGCGTCTTTTAACTGAGTGACTGTTAAGTGTCACTCACTCTCTGTTTGCGGTTGACCGTGCCAGCTGATAGGAACGCCGCATCACAGCTGCCGCACACAATGGAGAGATGGGAAGACAACTGCTACAAGCGGCTGAATTAAAGATTAAAAGGCATCATGCCTAAAAAAAAGGTCCCTACACGAGTTTTCTTTTACTTTAATTGAGATCAAACCTCAGCACTCTACCACAGCCTTAAAAATTTGATTTTTTTAATATATTTTTTTTAAATCATTAAAGTCTGCTTTCTGTTTGACCCATTTACAAAATTCCCCTAACTCTAAAAAATGATATTCCAGAAATTCCATAACCGATGGGAATACGAGTGATATCATTTCTAAAATCCTTCTCGGGGGGTTTTATTTGATTTTGGGCATGGCCTGATTAAATCAAGTGGAGCTTACACTGATAATACAAAGCGCTGTGAGTGTTTGAACAGATAAGCGGGCCTATCGCTGCTCTATCTGCTGCTGGATCGAGGATAGACAGCTGTTATGTTTACCTAAGAGGCAAAACAGGGGATGTGGTTATGGGGGTTATGTAAACACCAGTGCGCGTCCACGATGGAGGGCAGGCCTTGCAATACAACCGCCCCATCATTCCCACTCCCAGATGCCGGGTATGTGAGACAAAGAGCAGCACGTGAGGCAGTAAAAACGAAAATGACTGCGGGGGAAAGGAAGCGCGTCCTCAGAAGGATGGTTAATGACAGAAAAAGCGAGGGTGTGCGGGAGAAGGGAGCGGCAGACAGAAAAAGGTTGAATGGAGGGCAGAGGACATAACTTAGGAATATGAAGGGAGTGGTGACGAGCAGGGAGGAAAAGAACAACGAGCAGATCGACTGTAACAGGAAATACTCCATCCAAGCATTTATCACATAATAAGCCAAAATGAGAAAATTCAGTGGAATTTCCTCATTTGGGAAGAAGCTGGAAATGCAAAAACAAGCAAAAAAAAACCCACAAAAAAACCTAACGAACACTATTTTTTGTGTAAAGTTCCAACTTTGGCACAAAGTTTACTTTAATAAATGCCACGTAAATAAAACAGCAGTGCATTTCGGTCAATAGAAGTGGGTAGACTGAGGAATGACTGTAAAATATCTGTGGGCTTCAGCTTCCCAGAAATGTTTCAAAATGCCCAACGTTGCTAAAAGGCCATCAGTCAATGCACTGCAACACTGCCAGCTGCTTTTCTTTCCTACTCATCTTTGGATAAAACCTGGGAATGTGGCCAACATTACTGACACAAAAGAATAATTTTCTCAGTACGAATCATCTCCAGAGGCTCTTTTTATTTTCCTTTTAAAAAGCAAATTATTATGGTTGTGAGTGGAGAGAGAGCAAACTTAGAAGAAAGACAGCACAGAAAGACAAGGGCAGTGAAGAGTTGCCGGTTTGGTCTTTAGTGTCCTCGGTTCTCACGACTTCCTCCACTCTATTGTCAGGATACCTGAGTGGTCTCCCACTCCTCACCCATTACTTCTAAGGTTAAAGGTCAACGGCCATGGGAAGCAGATGGTTGTTCATTGACTAACTCGTTGGTAACCTGGTTACTTTTTCGCCAACTTGAAATAAAGGAAGTTGTAGCAACAGGAAGGGCGATCAGTGTGGTTGGTGTCTGGGCCACCTCCAATCTGCCTAACAACTGGAATTTTGGGGTTTTATTTTTTAATGTGTGTGTCTATACGGGTCCCTCCCCTCACGTGAGCGTGCTTTCGAGGTGGGCTGAATAATTGATGCTGTCATGTTGTGTCTCCAAGTGAGCCGAGAGTCATTAAAATATAACGAAGACCCCATTACGCGCTCGCATAGCAACATGTGACGGTCAGGCCTCTTTTTCGCGGACATCGGCAGAACCCAGGCACCACGGGTGTTTAACTATTGATGACTTTTGCAGAGAACCAGGTCACCGCGATGGGCGTGTTTGTATTATAGTAAACATCCTCCTGACATTTCTAAGCAAACAGAGCACGGAAATGTAATGTGCAATCTTAAAGCAGGCAGAGGTTTGCTGGATCTTGTTAGAGCGCTTGTTCCTGGAAAGTGAGGTGCGGATGGATGTACACATCATAGCTTGATTCATTTACCATCCATTCTGCGCTGTTTTGGCACACATCTCCTTCCTCTGTCAGTGTTTTTCTGCAACATGATGGCACCAGGGGGAGATGTGGCAAGCTCTCTGCACAAGCCATTATTTGTTTTCCAGCCATTTTTTTTCTTTCTTCACTCCCATGTTGTTCTCCTGATCCAAGCCTCTTTCTCCGTCCATTACACTTTTCATCCCCCCTGGCTCTCTTCCCCTGTTTCTCACTATGAAGATGTTGACAGTAGAAACTGGTTCCAGCTGGCCGCTCTCTACAACTAGCTCTAAGAGAGGCTGAGGCGAGTGTGTGCGCGCGTGCAAAAGTTGACGTCGTGACCCTAACACCACCTCTGGTCAAAGCCTCCTGCTTGGTGCCGATGTAACCGATTGTGTCTCGCTGTGTGTCGGCGCTGTTTTTAATACGCATCAGCATGTAGAATAAGCGGAAAACAAAGCCTGTGTGTTTGTGCCCGAGCTAGTGCTGTGGGATACTACAAATGTGGGCATTGATCGCATACCAAGTGAATACAGGGCCAGTATTAGCGATACCACCTGATCGATCGATATGTCCACCGCTAGCCTGAGAGCTACAAAGGTAATAAAAGGCTATTCTATTCTCTTCTACTCTACAGTGTGATGGAGGTGCAGGAAGAAAAGCTGAAGGCTGACTTTTCACCCCCTCTCCTCCATGTTACTATGTGTGTGTCAGTGTTAGACTGATTTAGCACATACAGTGCCTTTCAGCAGCACAAAGCTTGCTTAGCACTGGGACGCCTGGGATTTTCTTCACAGACAGGTGACAGCGTGTGTTTTAAATGTTAATTAGTTTGGGCGCGGGAGCGTGCGCGTCTATTTAAACAAAACAAAACAGAAGAAAAAAGTCGTTGCGAAGCTCGCGTCTACGTGTAAGTGTGCGAAATATGCAATTCCTGAGTGTCTTCGCATCTCATCAAGTAATGAGGCGCATATGTGAGAAATGTGACTTAGAATTAACAAGTCACATGGGTGTCGAATTGAAAATGCGATGGCATGCAGAATATTTGGGAAAAAAATTAATAAAATTGACAGAAACGCCCACACCTGGTGGTGTGATTGAGGTGATTAATGTGCAGCGCTGGTGTGTTTTACACCTTTCTGCATCACTCTAATTTCCCACATTACTTTCCCTTTTCTTCTTAGGAGCATTCAGCCCTTCATCCTTTGTTAACACATCAAAAAAGCGACGCATCGTGTCAGAGAGCTGTCTTCCATTAGCAAACACGGGGAGGTAAGAACCACCAAGCTGGCCCTTTCTTTCACGGGTGATTCATACGTGATGCACAGGCACACTCGTGCCTCAACCTTACGCACACACACACACACTAATGACACGTCTACACGCTCCTGTCCAAAGCTGCACGAGCTTCAAGCTCACTGCTAAATGACAATTAGAAGAACCAAATCCCAGTCATTACAGGACCCCTGACGAGAACTGAGCTTCAACCACTTAAGGGCTCTTTGGGGGGCTTAGGACAGGCTAACCGGGAGTTTGTAAAACACCAGTGGTGGATTAGCAGTCACGGAAAGATTCAACTGCAGCCTTTGGAGAACAGAAGGGAACCTGTCTGACGAGGGTCACGAAGAGTAAAGCGAATTCTTTGGCTTCACCATCACGAAGTCCGAGGTAAAAACCGTGGCTGCAAACTCTCCTAGACGGCTCTCTCTGTGGTCGGCAAATACACAAAGAGCAGGTTTTATGTAACGCAATCTGAGATGCCTCTTTATTATACATAAGAGGAGGGAGAGTGTGCAATAAATCCTTGTAGAGTTTGAATTTAGAGCCCTATCATGCATGCAGTAAATGCTGTAGCTGTCGTATTTCTTTATCATCAGAAGCAGATGGTATGCTTAATCAATTCTGCATTTTATGTAGATTAAGTAGTGTCCAATTAGAAAAAGCAGCAGGCATTATTCCCTGACTTTGCTTCCTCAGACTTTTGTTTGTCGGGTTTTCACCATTTTCTTTAGAAAACGTACATTTTTCAGATTTTGTTCTATCTTTCACAGATCTTCAATCCTCCTACCGCCTTTACGGTTTTCTAAAAGCTAACAAAACGCTGTTTTCAAAGCAGCGTAGCGCCACTAATATCTCTCTCCCGAATGCAAAATGCATGCCTAAGCATCTGTCTGATTCCGTGTCTCAAAGTGTCCGAGCAGTTTTTGCTCAGACGGATTACCGGACTCAGATTACACGCCGCAGACAGGCACACATCATATACGTATGCGCTCACACGCACAGATCTCCAGACAGGGAGATCAGCCAGAGGTTATTTAAAGAAAGGGAGGGGGTCCTCTCAATTGTGTGTGTGTGTTTTTCCGGGGGTTCTAATAAATTGCACAGATGTTGACTTTTGTGTCGAATCCACATTTTGTTTAATAATCTCTACATCAAATACCCCCCACTGGCCCCACCCAAACCAATCACTGGCACACACAGAAGGATGAGGGGGGGTGGGGAATCCCAGTCTGTGCGGGTAGTGTGGATTAACCCCTCTTTACACACACGCCCACTCTTGCCACTCTCTGTTTTTTTTGTTTGAAATCCACAGTGACCTTAAACCAGATGTGAGGGACAAGGTTTAAATGCCCTGGAAACAGGCTGTCTGCAGGTCACGGCATGGCAACAACCTGCCATTGTGTGTATATAAGTAACAACGAGCAGGCAATCAAATGCAGATTTAACGAGGCTCGATCGAAGCACTAAATGGGAGCGATTTTGGAGAGTAATGCTGCGAATCTCTCAAGGCGCAAATTTGCTCAGTCCACACCTGGCCGGCCTCCAGAGGGTTTCACAACCCCCAGGTGTGTGTGTGTGTGAGTTAGGCTGAGAAAGATGATAAATAGCGGTTCCAGATAAGGGCACACAGAGGACTCCATTGTTCTTGTTTGTCAGGTTCCCCTCCTCTCTCTATCTCTTCCTCCCTCCCGTTCCCTTTCTCTCCAACTCATGACTGAGGTCATGACTCGGGTTCATAAACAGTCTTAGAAGGGGAAAGACTCCTTCAGGAATTTAGCGTCCGCTGATGCCATTGATATGGCTCTCGAGCGAACACAACAACCTTAGTTGTTTGAGAACATCTCGGAGGTGTAAATGCGGCGTTCAGCGTGGATGCTCGGCTTCACTTTAAAGCGAGCTTGCCCGTTGGACCATTTCAGGCTTCGTTTTTACTTATAAACACGTTTAATGCTCTACCTTGTGGTTCTTGCCATGGCGGTACACCATCCAGTCCTCTCCGTTGGTGCTGACCTCCAGCTTGAAGGTTGTGACGTAGTAGGACTTCTGCGTTTCCTTGGATATGGCGCCCTGTGTGGCAATACCGGTCAAAACCTTGAGGAAATGAAGATCCACCTGGAAAAAAGGTTGAAAATGTATAAAACTTGTTTTCATGAACTGAAATAAAATAGAATAGCGGCAGAGAAAGCTCCGTAGACTGCAGGATGGATGTGCTCCGGGCTGATGCAGATAGCCGAGCAGCTGCAAGTCTATTGCTCACACAGCAGCAGCAGCAGATTGTGGCCTTCTACTGAAGAAGCCTAGGTGGTATCTATGAGTGTGTGTGTGTGTGTGTGTCTGTACATTGTGATGTGTGTAAGGGGAGGAATGGTTGGAGGCAAAGATCAATGGCGCAGTGTTCGGATGCATTCCTGAAGAGCACCTTCATCAATCACGGCCTTCTTGCCGCTCTCCTCCGCGCTCTGCCTATGCACGCGTTTGAGACAGGAAAGATTGAGAGTGTGGAAGCACTTCCTTATCATCGGTTCACAGTTCCTCCATTCCCTTTATGTGTGAGCACCTCTGTGTGTCCCCCACTGTACGTGAGAGCCTTCTTCGCCGAGCCTTCTTCCGCAAGTATCACCGAGACAAATTTACTGTCACCAGCGAGTTAACGCGTCGCTGATTCAGATATCAGTGTCGACCCGCTCTAGACTTTGTGCCTTAAATCAAATATTCGCCTTCAGATTTCTACCAGAGCAAACCAACTGCATTTAAAAGTTTCTTAAACACCCGGGCCCTCGAGACAGCTCAAATGCGCGGTTATTTATATTTGGTGGCACGGCTCTGTTCTGGAACCTCTCTGCCCCTTCCACGTACATTCATGGAAAGCTTAAGGCAAAGAAAGAAGCAGCACGACTTCTTTCTGGGGTACGAAACAACTGCAGGTGGGCTAAAGCGACTTAAATAGTTGACATTTGCCGACTGAATGCATGAAAGGGTACCAGCTGATCCGTCAGCTGCTGCGAGCTGCCGCTGACATCGACTGATCTCGACAGCGTAGGCCTGCTTGAACCTCGCGGAGTGATACCTGTATGTATTCCTTGTTGCTGTCCTCTGCCGGCGTCCAAGCGTTGTCGTCGTTGTTGAGGCGAGCCTGGCGCGGCAGCCAGCGATTGTCGTAAAAGGACGTCGAGGCCGTGATTTGGTCGTCGCTGATCTTCCCCGACTCCATGCCCAGCGCCATGCTGCAGTGAAATGCTGACGGGAGAAGAGGGAGCAACGTCAGCTATGTTTGCATTGAATATAACTGAATATAACGGTTTAGCAGACACGAAAGAAAAGGCATGAGGGGCACAGAGCTCGAAAAAACAAGAGGCGTGAAGTTAAACTCAGGCAGACACAAAGAGAAAAGACAATGAGAGGCAGAAAGCAGCCCAACAGGTGAGTGAAGTTAAATTGAGGTTGAGTTAATTTATATTCTAAAAGAAAATAGTATGAGCCCGCTTCTGAGAAATCATGCTCTCTTAGGAGAGCGCAAAATAGGCTGAGAGGGGCGAGGGAGCGCTCCGAGATTGAAATAGCATTAAAGCAGGCACGGCTGAAGAGATCAAGAGGGTAAGAGGAGAGGAGGAAAAAGAAAAAAGATGAAGAGAGAAAGACGAGTGTCAGCAGAGATGACAGAGACGAAAGCGGTGAAAGAGAGAAAATCGAGTTGGGAATAAAAGCAGGTAAGCAAACCTACACTCTGTACACACAAATGCACGCACACGTGCGCTCTTAAAGTGATGGTGCACTCACAGTCGGAGACTTCTTTTTGTGTCATGTTGTAGCGGGCGGAGAAGCCGTCTTTGGCGACAGCCATGTCGGTGTGGAAGGAGAGGGACAGCAGGCCGGAGGACGATTGGATCTCTGGGGGGATCTTTGTCCCGCAGTACCGGCCAATCAGAGGAGCCACTGCACACACACGAAATTCATGTTTATACAGTCATATTGCAAAGAAATGATTTTAAAAGAAACATTCGTGCTGTTATTTTGAAAAACTCAACATTTACTGCTTTTTCTGTATGATGCTACATTCAAGGAAGGAAGAAAAATCAGAAAAAGCACGCACATGTGATAATTCCTATAAGATTAAAAAAAAGGAAATCCAGCACTGCAAAGACAGGTTTCCAGTGGTCATGCTGCTTCGGTAAGTGTTGTCTAATGACTCACAGCATGCCTCTCCTCCATCTCCCCTTCCTCCATTCATTCCTCTCTCCCTTAACTCTCCTGTCCATCCCTCCATCTGCCATGTGTGTGTCTCAGCCAGAACCCAGCAGGAGAGGGAATGGAATCCCTTGCTTTAATGCAAGCTGCACTGGGATCAGCTGCAGACAAGCACTCACACACGCATAGACACACACATGCGCGCACGCACTCACAAACATTAAGGATTACAACGGTCTCCAGACACAAAAATTCTTCACCCTTCCGCCTCGTCTCCCGTCCCTCTTTCACGCCCAAGGAAACTCAGGCTCACTGGAACTGGGTTACACTTTAATTTGCTCCTAATTCTCAACTTTGAATGGTATAAATTGTTTTCAGCTATCAAAGCTCCTAAATTCAAGGCTATAATTGGAATTTTAAATCCACTTGGATCCCTTCTTAGCGACTGAAAATGGAATAATTAGAGCAAATCCTTGGTTCCCCCCCCCCACCCTGCTTCATATTTTCAAAAAGAAAAGGAAAAAAAGAGAGAAGAAAAGGAACTCGGCAAAGCGAGAGGTGAGAAATGAACCACTCACCACTACTAATGTGGCTTTCATCAGCTACAGAGCAACTAGCATTACCCTATGGCGGTCACTATCAAAGCCCCTTGATAACATCCTCAAATGTTTTTCTCCCCCAAACCCCTCCCATTCCCACTTTCTGATCTCAGCTCTTTGCATACAAGCAGATACTCATCGTGGCCGTCACTCTCGCTCACCCTGGGGAGGAAGGAAGTGCTAGGTGATAAGGATGGAGGACAGGGAGGAAAGTACGAGGGGGGTTAGGAACGGGTTGTTATTATGGAGAGGGAAGAGAACCATGGGAACAGATTGGTCCTCAGGGGTGTCCAGTCCCCCCCCTCCCATGTAATGGGATGGACTGTACGGTAAGAGCTTACATCAAAGAGAGGGATGCCTGCACAGGAAATTGAAGGCTGCTATGCAGATTTCAGTGTAGGAATGTGCATGTGGAAATGTGGCTGTCCACGCACGTTAAAAGGTGAGGACAGGGTGTCTTTCCAGTGTGTCTACGCTCACGCTGAGATATTCCGACATCTGTTTGTGTGTGTCTGTGTGTGTCTGTGCGCTCACCTTGTGGCAGACCGTCCCACACGTCCAGCCAGTCGTACTTGCAGTCACCCTCTCCGACCAGCAGGGGGTCGTTCTCGAGATCGAAGGTCAGGAAGGTGAGCGTGATGTCCATGTGGGGCGGGGCAATGATCATGTAGGAGCATTCCAGATTGTGAGGGTATTTATCCGGGAACCCCGGGGACTCGATCATGCCGGTAGGGCTGGTGAAATTGCGGAAGCAGAATTCCGAGCCTAAGCAGACACACAAGGATAAGAGGATATTTAGAGTCGGGAGTGAAAAACAAAAACCCATAATGGTCGCGTTACGAGCAGGAGCAATCGATCACGTGGCGGTATCTCATCTGACTTGCAGAAGGTGTTTCAGAAACTCATTCGTCACTGACAGCCCCGCTGGGATTTTACAGTAGCTGCGGTGGTGAAAGGACACGAACGTGCACGACTCGTGGCTGTAGATGGAGGAGGGAAAAAACCCAACAGAGCGAGCAAATGCTCAACTGGGCATTTCTAATTTTGCATCATGCAACGCAAGCAGGCTTAGAGCTCTTTTTTTGTGCACGCTCCCCTTAAATTCATACCACCTCTGTGCTCTCAAACAATGACAGTGCACTGCAAAACCCAGCCTTTACCTGAGCCCTTAAAAAATTCCACCTTTAAAGACGGAACCCTGCTTTAGAGCATATATTTAAAATTTTACCCTTTTTTGGGTCTCATTTGCACTCTGTGTGTGCGCGTGTCTTTCACTTTCTCTCGCACACCTCGCTCATGCATACCACAAAAGTTGTGTAATGGTTCTAAGTGGGCCCTTTGCGGCGGCTCCTCATTAGCTATGCAGATTTATGCGCCCTGGGCGGCTCACCTTGAGCGGCAGCAGCTGTGTGGCTCAGATCATCTACCCATCAGCCACTGCTCCGCGGTCCACTGGGGAGCCTGAGTCACGGCCGAGTGTTTATGGACCGGCACATCAATGAGGCGGGAGAGAGCTGACAATCCAGCACACACACACGCACACACACACGGCAAATAGACAGGTCTTCACACAAATGTCACACGCGCTGCCTCATTCGTAAGCTGTGTTTATTTTCCGAGCCTGAGTTCGCTCACCCTTTAAATAGTTCTATCTTTACAATGCAGGCTCCGTTCAGTCGTACATCTTTATGCATTTCTATTTTCATGCTCACCGGACACACACACATCCTCATGTGGCAACGCTGCAAAGATACGTGGGACAAATCGCAGCTCTTCCTCTAGAACTAAAGCGCACTTAAACTGGACATTGTGTGTTTTTTTTCTTTTTGCTACTTCTCTCCTGCTGAAATGACTCGTTGAAGGTAAATTCATTTAAAGACGCATTTAACTTCAGTTTCCTTTCCCAGACAAATGCGCCTGGTCGGTCACTACCAGCAAGGAAAAACAAGCCTAAGCTAGAAGCATTTTTCCCATCGTTGACTCCACTGGAAAGCTGGGAGGTCAGGTTGAAGAGGCTCACGGGAGGAGGCATCTGGTGGATTTCAAACCTGGGAAAGCGGCGCCGCATCCAGGCAAGCACTGCACTGTCTCAGGGAGCTGCCAGGGCTGCGTTTGATAACCAGATTCATATTCGTAGAGGCGGCGTTTAGGAGCACAGACGCGTTAGTGGAACATTCCTTCGGCAGCATTCCTCGGAGGCACCGGTTCTTATTATCAGGCGGCCCTATGAAAAGCTGAGGGGTCGACTGTGCTGCTCTGACCCCCCCCTCCCGGTGTCTACACTTGGTAATGGCAGAGAGCTGACCCTAATCAGCATAGAGACAGAGGGAGGAAAACCCAGGAGACGTATACCATATCTCTATTTGTATTCCCCATTTTGTGAGAGATTCTTTATACCCCGTTTTCTCTCATTTCCTGCCAAAGCCTCACATTTTTAAAAAAAGTGCTTACATATATAGCTGAGTGCAATGATGCATATATCTTCCTATTGATTTACCTGGCACCAATACATTCATGTCACAGTTGACAGTTGAGATGTTGACAAAAAAAAATGTATGAATCTTCCCCCCCACGCGTTAAAAGCAGTTGCCTGGCTGCCTGTACGCACACACAAACACACACACAGAAGTAGGGATGCTGAAATGTGAGGGTAATTTACAGCCAAGATCTCCCCATCCCTTCAACCACTGACCTCAGCTCTGTGTGTTAAGTGTACAGTTATAATGTAGGAGTAAGCAGCATCAATCTCCATGTGTCTGTAATGCGATCATAACGACAGCAAATGAACTGCGCAGTACGCATGAGTCACATCTCCTGCGAATGCTCCTCTTTGCATGTACGTTTTTGCTCACACGACCCGTTTCTTGCTGCCTGTTTTCCCTCAGTGTGTGCGTGCTTGAAGGTGTGTGTCTGCATGTGTGAGACCCAGTAACACACTGGCCTTGTTTCTCACTGGGTCGCACAGTCTGCGGAGTCCTGCTGGTGAAATCTTCAATCTGAGCGCAGCTTGACTCCACCGCCCATCCAAACACGCCGTGTCTGTTACTCGAGGAGCTGTCGCCCTCGCGCGACGTCACGTGCCGATGCTCTGCCGAGTGTGCGCATATGCACCTTCTCTTTGCGTCACTGCTCATTAGCTCACAGTGTATGAACACGCCAAAAACAAGTCCCCCTCGCCCCTTTCTACCTCCCTCTGTCACCCCCTCATGTCTTAAAAACACACACACATGCCTGCGCACACACACGTGCCTGTCTGGTGCTTGCATCGCACCATGAGCTGCCATTTGGCGAGAGCGGTCTTCTGGCAAGGAGCGGGAGGTCATAGTGTGAGTGAGTGAGAGTGTGTGTCAGTGTGATTGGAGGTGGGGTGGGGGTAAGAGGGCGAGTTGCTGGGTAGAAACCACTCGATTCTTGCACATGAGTGCCTGATGTAGTAGCGGCAGCTCCACACGTTGTGTCAGGGCAACCCCTTTCCTCTCCTCCTCCACCCAGCGACGCGCCGGGCCTGTGTTCATTCACTCTTTCAACCCTCTGTCTCGCCTGGCGTCGACATACAACTCTAGCTGAGGGCTCACCTCTGCGTCTGCCGCACATCAAAACCTGCCTCACCCTCCTCTCTCTCACCTGCCTGTCTCCGCCTGACATACAGCTCACTCCTCGTATACAGTCGCGAGCAGATCTCTCGTGTAACCTCCCCACGCTTGAGTTCGGCTCACGGTTTCCATTGAAGAAAATCTCTCCCGAGGCATCTGGGGAAGGGCGGTGTACGTGCATGCCTGTGTAGATGTGTAGCGGAAGGGGCACGCTACACAAGGGTGTGGGGGGAAGGGTTGAAAACCCACAACAACAAAAACAACAACAACAACAACAACAACAACACTGTGAACAACTGGAAGACCCAAGAAAAGGAGAAACAGCATTCTTGGCATGCTGTGGTTTGACACTTTTATATATCCGGAGAGACAACTCGAGAGGAATGTTTCTTCTTAGACTGATGCCTCTGTTGCGTTGTTGTTGTTAAATGAATTACCATTATCAATTGTTTTTCATCTTCAGCACACACACACATACAAAAAAATGCAGATGCCAAAAAAAGCCCTCCTGCTGTTTGTGATCAAAGCCGTTCACGCGGTTGCTGATAATGTCTCGTTATTTCATTCCGGGTACGCGTTTTTCCTCATCGCTGATCAGTCTTAAGCGCTCTTGTTTTTTTTTTGTGCTCGATTTATTTATTCATGACTTTAATTCACCTTTTGCCGGTTAATTACGTGAGCGTGATTTCGGCAGTGGGATGGGGCTCATGGGTTTTTCAGGAATAAACAAGTTGCAATCAGCCGTAACAGCCATCACTGACGCGTCCAATCAGCATGATAGCATCAGAGAGACACGCAAGGCCAGTGTGTTATGTCTGGTACTTGGGCGGGGGTCCCTGCCGTAGGCTGCGCCCTCTTCCACCACCACCCGAACCCCCAGATGCCACAGAAGCGGTCAGCAGCGGTCATGGAGGAGACCCAATGCCCCAAGGTTCTCTATGCTCCCATCTTAACACTGGATTGGCTGCCACTGTTTTTCTGCCCCCACTGAGCTACTGGTGGGCTTTGGGGAAGGGTGAAATGGGGGCTTCCATCATAAGTCTTCCCCTTGTAGCCGTGGTAACAGCATCAGCAGCACGTGACTTTGTGTGGGGTGGTAGTCAGGGCTGTATAAAGGGTTAAGCACGCATGAGTAGGACCAAAGTAGGCCACAACAATAAGGGGGAAGGGAGGGGGGCTGTGCACTTTCACTGTACAGTAGGATTAAGGCGTTTGTGCACTGTATGTGTGCGTGTGTGCGTGCGTGTGTGCATGAGTATAGTGGACTGAGGGATAGATGGAAGACCCTGGCTCTTCTTAGGACGTGAACCGAAGGGTGAAGGGTTATTTGGGACGGATGTAGAGCCAAAGGTCGACTTGTGATCCTCAACGCTGAAAGTGATTAGCTCTAACTGTGCTGTACCACGCCACTTACACACACATAAACCACACACAAACACACACAGTGGCAGTGGCACAAACAGATTGCTTGTCCAATTCAAAAAACCCCTGGAATAGCTACAGTCACTGCTTATGTAATAAGGTTGAATGAACAAAACAAAAACAAGCCACAGTATCATTAGTCCAATGCAGAGAAAGCAGGGCAGGATATCTCAAACACACACACACACACACACACACACACACACACGGACAGAGTCAAAACCAGACCTGCATTGTCTGACTTCCAGACACAGTGTGGTGGGGTCAGCCTCAGCTGTCTGTTTAAGATGGGGAGGAAGCTGAAGACACGCACACAAACACACACGTCTCCCAGCTGTTTGCACAGATTTCTATCTGTCAGGACACACCCTTTAAAAACACACACAGACCCATAAACACAACCTCCCAACCTCGACACTGTACACACAAACTGAGTTTTGTGCAGCTACATTAAAACAGACTGGACTAAAATTCATTTCTCCATCACCTCCCAAAAATAAAAGCGCGCAAAAATGCACAACGCCTAAATCCGTTAAGAATATTAAAAATAACGCTTGCACAATTGCCACTTCTCCTCTAGTAAGTAAACACATCTCAGCCTCGGATCTCTGTGTACCCGTCAGAAGTTGTAAGCTGTTTAGAGGGCCCGGGCCTGCCACGGTAAGACAAACAGCCATGATGAGAGAGCGTGCAGGCGCTGGGAACGCCGTAATTAACACATGGCCTCAATCACGCATCCTGAATTCATTTCCACTCTCTGACTCACTCCTTCTTTGTCAGTTTGTCTCCCTTAACCCCAATCATTTTCCCTCTCAGTTTGTCCCTCTCTCTCTACCTCTCTGTCTCACACACACACAAACATACGGGTCTCTCTTCCCGCCTCCACATACAAACATACATAGAGCCAGACAGAATCTCGTACAACAAGCTGAGTGGAACCACCCACACATGCAGCCAGCAGACACCTACATGTGCTCGCACAGTGACACCAGCTCTTACACCCCTGTATTTATACCAGGATCTTGTTAAATGCACGGCAACCGCATCCCCCCTCCACCACAATCCACCAGCCTTCGATCCATCTATGCGTGAGACAGATGCAGTCAGTTATACCGCCAGGGTCTGAGCTCGGTGTCCTCGGTAACATCAAATTTGGGTCACACTCATTTGACACAAAGCCAGGGACATTTCTTCAAAGGTGGGAGGTGAATTAACGAATTCTTTCTGTTTTCGCGGTGTTAAATTGAAAAGCATTTCCAGACCCAAATCAGGAGTTACCTTTAACTGCTGCAGAGACAATACGCTGGCAACTCGTACATAAATCTTGTTCCCCCCGAGGCCACCTGACCAATTCACCTCACCTCCTCCCACTATAACTCACACACACAAACACACAAGTGCCACTAAAACAATACTTCAACCTTGCCCGCAAAGCGCACTTCACCTCGTGCACTTTGACGACTTTTGAGAAAATTCCATTTCGCCACACGCTCGTCCCCATCACTCTCCTCGCCTCTGCCTCCGCTCATAAACCTTTGACCTTAAGTCAAACTCCCAAGTAGCCTCGGAGCTCTTTCCATTTTCCATCATCCCACAATAACCCTTCCCACACCCCAGTCTTCCTAACGGCCCCGGAGGAAGTGTATTCTTGCTTCATATAAGAACGCATTCCTCACGTGCTTTAAGGCAACTTAAAAGTTGTTGTTTTTTCCTCGCTCTGTAAGTTTTGCCTGCATTCCCGGTCCCCTCTGCTGAAGTAAATTACTGGGAAAGTGATGGGATGAGTGATTGCGGGTTTTGGGCCGCTAACATGAAGGCGAAGGAGGCGCATGATGACAAAAAACCATTAACTTGAGTGTTTTTGAGAAGGGGAGCCTTACGTTTGATGAAACATGTCCCACACATAAACTGTAACAAAATGATGCACACTGTTTTGTTTTGTTTTTTGTTGTTGTTTGTTTTGCTTTTCATGTAATATAAAATATTGCTTGAATTGCCCAAAAATATCTGCAGAAAAACAAGAAAATTAAGAAAAAACACGATGAACTGTGTGGCGTTGTTGACTTAATGTGGCACTAAACAGACCCAGCTTTAAGAACACAACCCGTTAATGCTTCCTTACCTGTTTTGAATATCTCGTAGCGCAAAGAGAAGCCGGCTCCCTGATGGGCGTAGTCAGAGACAAATCTGATTTGGAGGGATGGCCCAGATGAGATAATTGGCCCTGGGGCGATGTTGCTGCAGTGCCGCCCCAAAACATCGGCCGTCTCTGAAGTTCCATCGCGGATCTCTATGAAGTCGTATCTGAAAAGAATAAGAGAAATGAATTAGATTCTTTCCTGTTATGTTAAAATGTTCTCTTAAAAGCATTCCTTAAAAAAATCCTAGGATGCAGCATACTCAGAGTTTAATGCATCAGGAAGGGATTAAGAAAGGTAAAGAGATAAAAGGAGAAATGTAGAGGGGAGATAAATGTAGATAGTTATGGGGTTATGCAATCGGCACAGCTAATAAAAAACAGACAGGTGTGGATCTATTTACCGTCAGAGTTCAGCCTCAGGACAGAATACACAGAGCGAAATAGCACAACACAACTTCAAGACACAAATAAACATCTCTGCCACACCTCATATGTGCTGCTTCCCCTCAGCTGTATTCAATAAATTTAGCTCTTATGACCCAGTTCTGCTTGAGACAACAAGCTCAGATCCCTCTGACATCAGCTCGAGGTTAGCTCCCGCCATTTTACCAAATCTTGGATAACAGGAAAGAAAATGAAGAGAGGGCTGCGTTTGAGCAGAACGTAATTGAACAAGTGGCTGCAATCTGAGGGTGAAGACTGGGGCAAATGGATGGATTTGTTAATAAGAGGCGCAAAAATAGGCAGGAGCTCATGAAATAGTAAAACGGTGAAGGCTGGGGGGGATGATGACATTAAGGTGAAGGAGCAGAGAGTAAAATTGGTCCAAAGAAATGCACAGGCACCTTGCTTATTAGCTTACACATGCTTGAGCTCTTGGCTCATTTTGACCTTTGACTAGCTAACTGACCCTGAATGATAAAAGCAAATTCTCAACTGGCAGGCTACTACGCATGTGTGTGTGTGTGTGTGTGTGTGTGTGTGTGTGTGTGTGTGTGTGTGTGTGTGTGTGTGTGTGTGTGTGTGTGTGTGTGTGTGTGTGTGTGTGTGTGAAAAACACACACAAAGAGGCAGCCCAACCGATTGATCCAAAATTAACCCCGAGTGTCACTCCTGTGCCATTATTAGACATAAGCGGCGACACAGAGTCACAGAGTTCAGTCAAAAGAAGATTGTTATTTCCATCCGTCTGTCCTGGGAGCAACAAGACCCACCGCGATGATCATGTGGGGTATAGGATGAAAGAAGAAGCCGGCTTGGAGGTGGGTTGCAAAGTGGCTTGCAGATGCACCACAGCTGCAGGCTGATATTTAGTATCTGTTTCCCTTTAAGGAAAATACTACATGGATGGATTTTACAGCATCAAAGTTTTCCAAATTTCCACTTTTGCACTTGTTTTCCACAAGGACACAAAGTTTAATGCAGCTATGTAGCCTGTAAGAGATAACACACATAAAATATGGATGTAAAGATTTTTCATTGATATTCATGTAGGCAAAAAAAGTCTATGAATGGTAGACTAATTTGGTCTCCTTAGCTCCCTTAACGGCTAGCGAATACTACGCAGTGTATGAAAACACAGCCCTGCCTTGGACAGCCATCATTAAATTATATCATAGCTCTGCTGATATGATAAAGATGGAGCTAGTTCATGTTTTGGAGCTGAAAGTGAATCACCAGGTTTCAGGATAGTAATTTTGGGTTGTGTGAATACTGGAAGGTGTGGAAATCTCCGTGATTTTTGCTTGTTTCTAACTCAGTGCTGGATTACTGTTTTAAAGCAAGTTTCAATCATTTTCATCCAAATAGTGTCTGAGAGGAATCTGCACTTTTCTATCTCTTATATTCTCTTAAGCATGAGCTTGTTTTGCTGCTGTATGAGTACAAGATTTGTGTTGTTATTGCATTGCAAGTTGTTGCAACTGTGAATAATTTCCTTGTAATTTTATAATCTATCATGATACTCAATCGTGTTTCTCTCTACAAGTGTCTTTACCACACACACACACTAAACACAAAACACTGGGTTTCCCAATGTAGCTGACTGCATTGCTGCAGGCGTCCTGCAGCTACACCCTTCAAACATACAGGCATGCAAAACGCACTTGCTTCAATTAGTTTGTGTAACAAAGCTGTCACAAAACAACAGGGCTGCTGTTGTCTCGCTAATTAGCGTGACGGGTTGTTTGATGTTAAAAAATCGTCGCAGATGACTCCGGGTTTTGGAGCCGCCTTCAAACCCAGCATCTCGCCAATGTCCCGAACAGGTAAGCGCTTTCCCCCCCGCGACTTCTCTACAATGAAAAGCGTTCAGAAGAGATGAGACAAACCAATCAGCTCAAGGCTGTGTTTCTTTGTGGAATCTCAGCACTAAGACTGCTTTTGTGCTCCCTGCTTGGAATAAAACCTGGATTAAGTAGAGTCACTAAGCCTCTTTTTTGGCTATCGCATTCCTGCAGTGTATTGATTCCTATACAGAGCATTCAAGCTAAGACTGCTGATGGAGGGATAATCCCAACCATATTAATCTAGGTCAGAGTGGTACATGCACAGGTGAGGCTCGAAGTGTGAAAATGCTGCAATGAGCCTGCAATATCGCCACATGAAAGCATCTGACCAACAAAAAGAACGTACAGGACGAGGCGAGTTAATTAAACCAAAAAAAAAAAAAAAGAGTACAAAGGACATGCACTTTGGGAAATAAAGGAATCTCAGGTTTGATTTGGCCTTGGGAAGATTTTCAGGTCATGGTTTCAGAGAATATTTTAAAGCCGAGATGAAGGTAAGAAGGTTTATATATGAGGCAAAGGAGGGTTTAACGAAAACAGTGCCAGAGTTGGATTAGGGGGGAACTGCAAGACACAGTTTCTGAAGCCTGATCCGTTTACTCTGGTCGCAGCCAGTTGATGGGTTTGTGGACTTGCAGCTTTTTCATTATGTTCATTTCAAGGCTAGTTGTTGGCTTCCGCAGAACTTTTCACACAGCTATGTTACCTACAGGAAGGTGTTTAGCTAAAACTGTACTGACACACCTGTTAGCTTGGTTGGATTGAGGTGCGATCACATTCATGCCACGAACAAACTGCTCTGGAGTTAATTTAGAACCCCACCAAGACCACCTCCTCCAAAGGGTCTCGGTTTTGGTCTGAACTTGAGTGGAATTACTGTGTCCACTTCTGCACAGGTGAACCAGAGTCTAATTTAAACCAACCAAACACGGCTGGTGTGAAAGCAGCCTTAGGCTAAATAGCATGATAGCCTGATATTGCTACACCTCCTGAACCGGTTTCAACAGTTTCACTCTCTCTGCCTCTCTCTTACCAATTTTTATTGTTATTTTTTTAAAAATTCATAAATCTTAAAGTTTCAAAGGTGCACTGCGACATGTTTCAGTCTTCCTGCACGCTCCTCCAGTCTAAGCTTGTGATGACGACTGGGGCTCAAGCCAATCTGCACAAAAGAAGGCCTGAAGAGCTCTCCTCCTAGTAAGTAAAGAAGCTGTTGTCCAATACTCTTATACGTGTCTTGGTTGTAATCCTGCATTACAGAGGCGATCGTAGAGGCTTTAGTGGCAGGCTCCAACTGTGAGTCTGTGAGAGCCGCGGCCAACCCTTAAGTACGCCTGCTTAGGGCTGTTACTGACACATGCTTTAGGGAAAACACACACTCAAAACATGTGCCAACAAACACACAAAGACAGACGCGTACACAGACACATGCCGCATAGACAAGCACATGCGTGCGCGTACACAGTCGATGCTGCATCACCAACGCCGAGGATAAAAGGCCCGCGAAGGAGCTGAGAGCCTAATTAGGTTTTAATTGATTTTGGAGTGGGTCTCTATCCTTCCCTCCCCTCTCCCTCTCTCCTGTCGTGGATTAGCGTCAGTGAGTGAGTGTTCCTCAGATGTGATTATTGACCTGTTCGCTCAGCCTCTCCCCAGGCTCTGATGAATACTTGCATGAGGACCTGACGTGTGAGAGCCCACTGTCTGTCTCTCCCAAGCACACACTTGATTGCATTCCAGGACACTGCGCAGACACACACATAAATCATTTGCACATGCGCACTCGCACATCTGCGCCCATGAAGGTACGCATTAGCGCCGCATCCCGCTCTCTCACACACACACGGAAGCAGAAAGCCCCCATCCAGATCCAGATTCCTCTAGGAATTGTTTTGATTCAAACTCCGCCTTTCTGTCTGACACCATCCATCCTCAACTTTCCGTCTGTCTGGTGGTCTGTCTAGGTCTGCACGACCAGCCCTGTGTTAGGGAACCATTATGGGGGGCAGCAGTTTCGACCTCCCTCATTTCCCCTATAGAATATAGCTGGAACAGAGGGAGAAGGTTAAAGAAACTAAAAACCCTTAAAGGCCAGTAATTCTGCACCAGCCCAGACACGTCTTCTCTTCCTCTGATCTCATATATCACGACACCCCTGTGCCTTTCACACATTTTGCTGTTTGCTGGGGACCGGGGACATTTCCTGCAGGCAGCAGTGCCTCAGTACAACCAAACGCAGGCCCAAAGCGAGTATACATACACACCACACACAGCAGAAACTGTAAAAATAGGCTACAAAAAAATCGAGAAACCACTAAAGACGAAACTGGTACGAGCAGTACTGGTTTCTTTTAAGAGATGCCAAATTGGGTGCTGACGGTATCGTAAACAATGAAGCTGCTCTGGAAGATTACTATACATGATGACACTTTATCTAAATTACATCCTTTATGAGGTTTACGTAGCAAAGATTTATTTATTGTCACATATTTGACAATAATCAGTCCCATTAAACAATGCGAGCTGTGCTTGTATGGCACCTTTTGGCCTTACTAGAGGAGAGTAGTAGAATGAGCACTATTTATGTGAAGGGGCAGATTTAACAACCTACCTCGCGAAGAGTCGACGGTCCGCCGTATTCGCTATCATCGCCCATCATTTAGCAGGTGTTACTGTGAAATCTGGGAACTTCTCAAAGCCAACATTAATCTTGATGTGTTCATTTAGGCAGATCTTCTAAGCAGGAGCTTGTGGAGAGATATGAGGTTGCAAGCCTTTGTTAGGTGTTAAGTCTTTTTGCAGAGCACTGCTTGCTTATATATTTATAGGCCTTTTATGCCTCTGTGGCCTTACTAACCCTGCTAGTGGTCACTATG